AGAAAACGTATGGTTGGTTCGAATATCAATGTAAGAATTATAAGACTATTCCATTATGGATGTGAAGAATAAAACTGGAAAAGTCAATGAAGAAGTGACGATGAGACGACAACCTTGAAACACTATTAAACTGAAATGTTTCGTAACCTCATTGAGTAAAGCACGATGTTTTTCCAAGAATCCGCCTGGGACCTTCGACTTCGCTCGAGCCGCTGACGAATGTTTTTTGCACTCGATTCGCAGTCCAAAAAGCGAGAGCAAATAAAATAAAGAGTGAAATCTAATCACATAGTAAAAGTGCTCAAAAAAAATCATAACCTCCGTTTCGTTCCTATTCTTATTCGTATGTACCACTGATGGCCCATTTGCAACTGGACTACCCGCTCGTAGCAATCGTCTACACATTGAAGGGGTCGTCTTTGAATCCGTCGAAGGCTATATCGAAAATAGAATTAAGGGGTTTACTACGACATTTGTGCCAGGAGGTTTCGTGGCTTTTCGTAGCAGGGTTGTCAACATTTGACTCAGTTGTGTTCACGCTATGTTTTCTTAGGCTCGCCCACTGTGAATCTTGATGAGTCGATCCCTGGTGGCTATTGACAACTTGCCTTGGCCTTTTTAAGCTGTTGTCCCACAGAATGCACAGGTTCGCAAATTTGCCTTCCCCCCCCCCCTGCCACGACGAGCTTGGCCCCTGTCAAGTTATCATCGTGCCTGAAGTAACCGCTCTTGCCCTTTGTGCTCGGAGCTATTTCACAGTCCGGCTGAATCCGGCTGAGCGACCTCTTCCCTTAAAGGCACCGTCCACCCAAAGTGGGGGTTCACGAGATTCGATGGCAGCCTTTTGAAGGTCCTGATTGAATATGTAGTCGAGAATCCGCAAAATAGGAGAACGACGCAGTGCAAGTCGGCTGCTGCGAGTACTCTGCGTTGATACCACTGCTACTCCGCCCATTTTGCAGATTTGGCGGGCTGCGGCGCTGATATACGCCGGGCGTATAACGCGCAGCAGCCGACTTGCACTGCGTCGTTCTCCTATTTTGCGGATTCTCGACTACATATTCAATCAGGACCTTCAAAAGGCCTGGAAGCGGCAAAAACATGGAAGTGAGAATTTGGGTGGACGGTGCCCTTAATCCTTTACGATTAGCACATCTCACAAGGGAAGCATGTTTATTCGAAATGGCCTTTTTGGATTAGATGCGAACTATAGGGAGGGTATAAGACGCTGATTCCGAATCTTTTCATGGAGAGGAGTTATGAGCGTTTATTAAAGCAAAATTGAATGTACAAGTAGGACAAAAATAGTCTAATGTTTTTTTGTAGCTCATTGGTGGCGCATTTACCAAAGCAATTTAATTAGTAGATTCTCCAAGATAAAATATACCAGTAAATATATCAAAATACATCAGTTAATCTATCAAAATACTTTATAGTCAATCGCTTTATTTGAGGGCTAGTAAGAATTTAGCACTTATTTTATAAATGCGGTTTTGATTTTTTTTTTCTTTGATGATCGATAATAACTTCTCGTTCACAAACTTTTCATAAATAGGGAAGGTAGATTTGGAATCGTTTCATGCTCTTCAATATTGTGTACATCCTATCTGAAAAGGCCAGATCGACTAAACATGCTTCCCTTGTCAATTTTTGGTCTAGCATACGATGTCATGGTAGTCTCGGCTGTTGTTTCCGATTTCTTGTCTTGGAAAATCGATTGGACAATTTTTCTGACAACTGCCCTTTTTGAGCAACTAAGAGGGTTTCCAACATCAGCGAGAAGTAGACCAAGTTGAGGTAGCGCATTTGTTCCAAGCACAGTTTTGCCATCTCCTTCATCTTTAACGAAAAAAGCCATCCTTGATTATCATTCTCAACTTGCAAGGTGAGCTTTACCGTTTCCTTGAGATTTATCCGCCTTCCGGAGGCATCGTATGCGGAAGGTTACTGTTGGATTGGATTTTCGTCCAAGTTCGTATCCTCCAAATCAATTTGCTGCATTGGACTTCCCGACATTAGACCCACTCAAAGCAAAGATTGCTTCTTTCCTTTCGGTTCCTCACGGTTGACGTGAAGTTATAAAGGTAGAAATCGTTACAATGTACAGAGTGTCCCAAAAAGATGTGCACACTGTTTGGTCGTTAATAACTCTCTTGCTTTCATGTCTTTTGCCGAGTATGACGTATCATTCTGTAGAGAGAGGTTCAACTTAGATTTATAGTATGGAGCAAAATATCAATCTCTCTTCTTTACTGTATGATTACGGTATGAACTTTCAGCACACATCGTCACTGTGAATTAGGCCTTCTGATAAAATAATTCCATAAAAATCTGAAGATTTGTGTAACAAGGTTTTCAGGCGTGCTGATTTCACTGCATAGCTTTCCACCAGTTTTTTGAGCTTTCTTGATGGCGTATTCACATTTCTGACGAACATTGGAAAAACAGTTGTTACCCTAAATCTGAAGTAACTCATGAAAGAAGCCCTATACTGAAATGCTATTTTCATAGTTGAAATCAGCGACTTTAGTTGGGCCAGTACAAGAGTTTATGGCTTGTCTGGTTTCGTTCTAAGGCAAAAATCACTTTCGATGGCTCAAAATCTTCCTCGAATTTAATACCGTAATCCTACAGTAACGAAAAGGACTGGTAATTCGCTCCATACTGCAAATCTAAGTTGAAGCTCTCTCTAAAGAATGATACCTCAAGCTCGGCAAAAGACATGAAAGCAAGAGAGTTATTAACAATCAAACAGTGTGCACATCTTATTGGGACACCCTGTATATCCCTTTACGACCGAGGTTTTGAAGGAAACGTACAGCCCCTAGGAGCTGAAGTTTTACCCTCGATCCCAGTGCAAGCAGCTCAGGCCTGCTCAGCAAAGTAATATACACTGCCAGAACGACGATTCACGTCGACAGCGGATTACAGGTTATCCTGGTTCGGATCCCATGTCACGCACCAAGCTCGTTATCAAAGAGAATGAAGGATGTTTAAGGTTCGAGAGAGAGAGAGAGAGAGAGAGAGAGAGAGAGAGAGAGTAATAGAAGAATTTACTAGGACTAGAAATAGGAACAGCTATAACAGCTAGAGAAATTAGAGCAACCGGGGTTGCGTTATAACCACCACGATACAAGGTACCTGGACAAGATCAAGACTCAATAATCATTGCCTATGGTCTAAACTTACCACAGCATCCATCCTTGACATACATAACTGTAAAGCAGTCCTTGAACATTTTGATTTTGGGGCGTTTAACGCTTTATTTTTGAATTCTATTTGTGAATGCAGCTTTATTCGCTTGGCGGTTGTTAAGCTGTAGGATGCACATGACCTGACTTGGTGCCGCTGAAAGAAAAGCCATAGCTCTGTAAGAAAAACTAATTTTGAAAAATCAAAAGTGCTTGGTAGAAGAGCTCAAAAAAGCGATATATGCTGACTTTGTGAAAGCCTGAGAAAAATATCCTGAAAATAGTTGAACTTGGGCGCGGTAGCCACCCAAAAACTTCAGTACTTTGGATAGCTTTAGCGCTCTTAACTAGTATACACAACCATTATCAAGAGGATGAAAAGCGCATCCAGCTCGTTTAAACATCCTAATTGTGACTGATGTTACCGCCTCAGAAAATGCGAAATTACAACCACAGCGAACTAATACTTTTTTGCTGAATGTCTCTGTAGATGAAGTTGTAAGCCATTATAATGCAAAGTGTTTTAGCAAGGCGCAAACTTGAAAATGCAGATTCATGTTTGGCTTGATGTGGTAACACATGCAGCTAGGTCTTAACTTCGCATCTCATTTGCACGAATTCCTTGCAAATATTGTTATAGGATCGTTCTCTCACTTAAAGCATTCAGCCAGAGAGACAGATTTGAAGCCAGCGTTTTACAGTGCATCCAAAGTTATGCGGTTTTTTGGAATATCCGATTCGACTTCTGACCATTCCCTTGTGAGATAGTTTCAATTTTATTCCTGCGAGGTTTTGGCTCAAATGCTGCGAAGACATGGCACCTATTTGAGGATGGGCTTTAATTCACAACAAGCATTTTTATACGATTATGGAAGCGTCAAGTATGGTAACATACACAGTAAAAAGGATATACAGCAAATGCTGCTCTAGGCACTCCGTCCCCGTGTTTTGCTCGATGCAATCTACCGATTCCATTCTGAGAGGTCCTCAAATTTTTGATCGCTGAAATTCTTGACCAGGGATCAGTTATGCTCTATAAAGTCAAAGGCGCAGCAAAATCATTTTCAGAAATATACTAACTTAATTTCAAAAGTAGAGGAAGGTTTTTTCCTTTAATCGACCAACAAAAAATACGCTAGAGGATTTCACGATTTCAGAAAAGGCTTTACCTTGCTTCGCATTATTCAATGTGCGGCATAGCGACCGTTCGGCACAGCCAATGCGGCTGAGCTGCTCGCATAAAAATAATGAAAAAATGTGCTCTTTGTGCTCGAATTAGGGTAATCCAAAAAACTCGTTCACTGAAAGCTTCAGCCCTCAAAAGAAAGCAGAATGAGAATTAGCTCCTGAACTATTAAGCATTTAGTGCAGAGACCTAAACATGCAACGTTCAACATAGAGAGCTTCATCACATTTTTCAAGTACGTAGCGAAAGGCTTGAGGTCTGATCTGTGCTGTTCGTATTTTACAAGACAACATTTTGGTTTGTACAGTCTTATCAAAACTGTGGCTAATGCGCTCGACAGGCATGAAGAATGTCGAATTTATATATGGATGATTCTTTCAAACAAGAACTATAATGAAGAGGGGACAGCTTAGAAAGTAATCTCGGCAAGAGGAAGATTCCTATAATTTGAATACAGCACCCAGAGCGTTACCGATCTCTGCCGCCACAGCACCTGTGATAGCAAAGTCACTGCACTTCATCTCATAACATCAAAGTGGACATGTAATGTTTGCTATTTGCGAGGGAGATGTATGAGATTACCTGTTAAGTAAATAGTATCTATCTTTCTGGACTTAGCAGAAATGGCATTCGAAAGTTCGGTACTAACGCTGCGTCTCTTAATGTTTGTTTTGGGCGATAAGGCGTCGCTTTTATCAAAGTATTCCGTATTGGAAGCGTCATCGCCATCACCTACACGAGGACATCACTTCGATAAGTGAGTGCTTGAAAACATTACCACCGATTGTCGTGATTCCCAGGAATCTCAAATACGCAGGTATATCTAACGACTGGTGAAAAAATTATCTGTACAGCGCTAAACACAGACATGTCAACACTTCTCGGGTACCGAGTCAGTTTTGCGAAATAAATTTCGATTCTTTTTTGTCTCGAAAGTCTTACTGCCTCATCGGAGTTTGTTGAATAATCTCCTTGAGCTATCACTATAATATGGATCAATCTTCTACCTTATAATTCGCCTTTCCTGAATTGTAGCTGTATTCTTTTTGCGGATGAAACACAGACGATATTCGAGCCGTTATCACTTGCCTTATCTGCAGCGGCACTGACACGCCAAATTCTTCAATGCCGTACTGCCAATACTTCTATGTAATCTAGTGGACTTTTTATGAACTTTCCAACGTTGAGTTTTGTCACCATGATACTACTAATGCTTTTTTTTTCTCAATACTGCTGAGATCGAATCCTCAGCTACTCAAATCTCACTGCTGGCAAACTGTTTCGCGCTGTCATTCGGTCTCCTCACCTGCTTTCTTGAAGAAGTCTCCCCTTCTCAAATTTTGGCACCCGGATCTGCAAACGAACAAGTTTTGGAAAACTGAGAACTATGATCAAGTGATCATCCATGATTTTTGAGTTTCGCTTCATAGCCGATGGTGCAAGTGGTCTGCCTTACCTTAATTCCTTTAGCGGACCTATAGGTATTGTTGTGTGAAATTGGCTTCACCTTTGATCTACAGTTCAGGAAGAATCACCGGTTGTAGCAGGGTTTTCACGCCCGCTCACTTCACTACTTATCTTCTAACATAAGAGTTTGTGAAGGTTATAGACCTGATTCACGAACACTTAGAAAGTTACGGCACAGTGACATAAATCACAGACGAAGCATTACCGTAGTGCAACTCATTTAGGGCCCGCGGCTCCGGTTAGCCTAATGTTATCGTTCATAGTTTGTTTGGTTTTCTTTCGCCAAAATATTGCCTTCAATAGCTCAAAACCATCTTCAAATTCCTACTGTCCTACAGCAACATGGAGCAAACGGTAATTTCTGTAGCTCAATAATGATTCTTAGGTCCTCTAAAGACATCAAAGCAAAAGAGTTATTCACAGTCACACAGTATATGCCTTCTGGGGCAACCTGTAAATTGGCGCACTCGAAGTGCACTTCTTGCTCGTAAATCCAAATGAATGACTAATGCTTAAAGAGTTTTGAGTAGCTAGAATTACTCAGCGCTCATGTCATGCGGCCTTTCTGACTCAGTCGCTTTACTCATACAGTAAACTGTTACTTTTATTTCTTTTCCTGTAAAGGGAAAGAAAAGCATACAGTAATTTTTGTTTTTGCTGTGCGTTCAGTGGATGGAAATATCATAGACTTAATGGACTGTTAATTCACTCAGTGTAAGGCAAACAGATCCAGCGAATGTATTCGCCTTTGTTGACCTAAATTACGAGCTAACTACTACTGATTTGCCTTTGTATTTATACCACCATGGACACGTGCGGGAAATGCTCACGTAAAATAAAAGATTCCCAACTCGTGAGATAGGTACGCACAGCCATGAGCGCGATTAACTAAATGCCGAAAAATTGGGATCGTCGCGGGCTTTGTTTAAAAGTAAAATATTGCAAGATATCTAAATGTTTGGCTTATTACAAGCCAATCCTGCGGGGTACTACTTACGTAGGAGAAACACGAGGCGCACTACAGTAACATGTACGCTAATCACGCGTGTAAGGCGCGGGGGATTTTTTTTTCAAAATCGACCAGCCCAGAAAAGCCAAAGGACTTTACAACCAAAGGACCCTATAACGTGCTGTACATTGCTTGAGTGAATCGTGCGATGTAAAGATTTCTTTCCGGAATACAGTGAAACGGCTGAGCGGCTCGCTTGAATATTAGAAAAAGTGCGCCTCACACGCGTGAAATTATAGGGTAATAACAACTGGACAGCCTTTGCGAGGCTAAATCGTTTCTTTTCCGGGGCGCATTTTTTTATGAAACTGAGGAGGTGGACGCTGCACTCAAAATGGACCACTGCGTAGAACTTTTCAACTATGAGGGAATGAGATTGATACGATAGTGTTGTCTCCAACTAACAATAAGTATATAGTTATCACAGTCTTTATGAGAAAAGTTCTTCCGAAGCAGAAGGAAATTTGGTCTTTTTCACTAATCTTGAGCCAGGTTTTAAACCCAGCCTTCTTAGAACTTTTGGAAGTAAAAGACAAGGAAAAGTGAATTTCTGCCTGAAATATGCGGTAGTAGCACCGATACGAGTAGATCGAGTTTAGCTTTCTGTGAATGTTGCTTGAAAACCTAATTATAGGCGAAAGATTATCTATGTAATCATGCCAACAAATTACTGCTCCAGATGCAGCCTTTTTTAGTTTTCTTTTTCCTGTCAAGAAGCTGAACATCTCTTATCATCAGGGTAATTCTATTACTTCTATGCTGCTTTGAGTACAGTATTGCACAATCTAGTCAGTTCCATACATAAAATTAACTTCTTCTCGCGAATGCCCTTAAGTGCGCTGTCTTTTCGTTGGGGGGTGCATATCCACGGAAATTTAGGGTCATGGCCGCCCGAAGTACTCTGTCTGAAACTACTCGCTCGATTCTTGACGAGCTGTCGGACAGTGCAAAGGAGAAAGTGCCACGGGATGTATACACCCAGCTAATGTCGGGCTTCGTTCCTGGTTTGTTCTTAGAACACTAATGCATACATTCAAACGAGACAGTATAATTCCAGCAACAAGGGAAGTTTCAAGAGCAGGGAACGAGCTGCTCAAAGCATATCAGGGTAAGCAATCCCACTTTTTTGCTGAGGAGATTACCTCCACAGAATTACTTCGATTACCTAAGTTTTTCCAAATTGAATGCTCATTCTGTGCTTTGTTAGATTCAATAGGAAAATATCGTAACACGTTGTATCGTGACTATCCAAATCCACCCTCGATATAATTTCAACAACTAATTTGAAATATTAGGTTGTTACATAAGTCTTGTTACACTTTGACTTTTTACGGCAATAAGTCATGCACCTCATATTCTTTACAGGAATATAGGGTACCATGTGATAGAGCAAAGCAAGCTCTACAGGATGGTATGCAAAAGTTTGCACCAGCTTCGACCAAGTAAGTTTGCATCAGGAATGTAGTCGCACTGAAAGTTCAAAGAATTCGGAAAAATTCATATCTTTGTTCAAAAAAAAATCCTACGAATATCCTACATGTTCATAAAAATTGCATACTATATCAGAAACTCGCGTGGACCGTTGCTGTATTTTTTCCTCATCTATAAATCGAACAATTATTTTCTTGTTTTTATAAAAGCAAAACTATGCTGTCTAATCATGTAGCTGTATACTACAAACCCTTAGAAGTATAACCGTAAATTTTCAGCTTTTCAGAAGCCCTTTCTCGAAAAAAACCGAATTTAGCATTGAACACCCGAGCGAGAAAAGCTAAATTTGGTATTTTTCGAAAACTAGAGCTTCAGGAAAGCTGAAAACTTACGCTATACTTCTAAGGGTTTGTAGTATACAGCTACATGATTAGTAACATCATAGCTTTGTTTTTGTAAAAACAAGAAAATTTTCGTTTTTTCGATTTCTAGATGAGCAAGAGATACAGCAACGGAACATACAATACCGCTCACATTTTTTGAAAAAAAGACGCGAATGTATGGACATGTATGGACATGTACGAACATGTCCATACATGTATGGACATGTCCGTACATGTCCGTACATGTCCATACATGTATGGACATGTCCATACATCAGCGTCGCGTGGCCATATCTCGCTTCAGAGTGGACGAATTCTGAAGCCAAGGCCAGCGTTCGATTCAGCTCGGCGCGGAGAATCTTCTGATATATTGGAAGTGGGGGTACGATTTTTTCGATATTCCGTTTCCAGTTTTTTCAATTTGTTCTGCGGAGGTCCTTTCGCGAATATGTGAAGCAACACCTACCCAACATAGAAACTTTACTAAGTACTTTTCGATAATACTGTTCATGTAAATTATTGTGCGCTAAAAAATAGGCTCAGACTTCTTTCCAAAGGAGGTGAAAGCGTTGGTGAATTTTGGAAAAATCACGCGTTTCTAAATTCTACTCGCCATAACTTCCTTCGGAGTAAGTATATTTTGAATCCGAAAACTGCGCCTTGCTCAGCTCTTTAAGTCGAATCATCCTGTATACAGCATGTCCTTCGTATTTCGATTTCATTATTCTTGAATCTTTCTGAGGACGTCTTTTCGCGAAGGTGTAATGCAGCAAACATTGTCCCGAGTACATTTCAGCAAGGATTTTTCGATAGCACTTTTTCTGTAGATTATGATGTGCTAAATACTAGTCACAGGTTTCTTTTCAAAGGAAATAGAAGGGCTGGTGAATAGTGGAAAAATCTTGTCGTCCCAAATTCTACTCGCCATATCAGCAGGATGCGAAGCTATCTTGCTAAGCAGATGTGAGTTTCGAAATCAGCAGGTCGCATAACCTCTACGAGCAAGTTTTCCGATATGTTCGGGTCATTTCATTTTTTCTCGCTTTACGCTCCGGAAGCGCGCCGATGGATTTTGGTCAAAATGTTGATGCTCTTGAATTGTAAGGAAACTTCGCTTATAGAGGTTTTCGAACACGCTCTTTACGAAAATCGTGGTCTTTGAGGATTACAGGGTCTTTTTGGAGAGATACGGTGAGGTGACTGTAACTTTATCACGAAAGTACGTAACTTTGGCCGCAGTTCTCGCGTATCTGTCAGAAACCTTGCCTGCTTGCTTTTCTCAGTCAAAATTACTAGGAAGTGTGCTATCGAATGGTGTATTACTCAGGGTCCAGTCTGTGAAATTCGCCGAGTTACGAGCCTACAAATACACGTCCTCATGAATTTTGCCCAAATTGTAAAGATCGCATATCTCGTCGAAATTCCTCCGCGAGCGCTTGTATGACGCTCGTTGCAGATATTATGTTCGCTTCGTTGAACGTCTCCCACTGCACTGAATATGGTGCTTGCGTCTGCTTCAGCTGCTCAACTGAATATCAAAGCTATTTCGTGGCTAGAGCTCAAAGCACCAAATCTAACACAATAAGATCCATTAAAAATATGGAAGGATTTGATCAGCGCATTGTATTAGGTCATTCGGATAGTTTTTTCCTTTTTGCGCCTTTGATGTTGATACCATATTTTAAGAGGGTGTCAGGGGGCTGTTAGGGGTTGCCATATATGGATCTGTAGAGGAAGTCTTCTAGTTCATGGGATCCCACCGAAATTGCAGAAGAAGCTTTGTAGGGAAGTTTACGCGGCTCTAAATTCGACATACGAAAACGCGATTATCGAATAATTGTATTCTCTAAGCTTAAATTTGAGCGTAAGACCGTTGAGGAAACCATCATTGTGCGCAATGCATTTGCCAAGACCACGTCTTTTTTGAGGTAGGTTCAAGTTTACTTCAGAAAGTTCAGATCTAGAGAAGTAAAAGCTAATATTTTGCAGTGTCCTGGAAGGTGTTTCTGCCATATAAACGAGCATCTCAGAGGGTCCTTTAAATGCAATTATAGCTGCGTAAAATTATCAGCAGGCCCTGAAGTGTCATATAACCTTATTAGGAGCCACCTTCGCTAAAGCTGCAATACCGAAAAATTTCAGCGACATGTACCCACAAATTGTCGCAATCGCAGTTTGAGGGCGCGTTGACTCTGCTTTCGTCGCTCATAATTTTATGTAGCAATCCTTTTCCAGCCTGAGTTATTAATTACAGCAAAAAATTGACTAAGAGCGGCAATGAGAAGCGACAATGTGGTAAATCATTTGGAATAAGCATTGAAAGCATGACCAGAACAATCTGTCATTCCAAAAGGTTGATGCACTCAAATTAATGTAATCCTGCTGGTCTTGTACGCTATAAACTTGCTAAAAAGCTATTGTACTGTAAGAGCAGAGTAGTGTGATGTCGCTCTGTCTGTCAAAATTTCAAAACTGAGCAGACTTGCACGTATAAGCTATGAGAGATGCCATCCACGCTCATGACTCCGCCAAACCACATGTAAGAAAAGTGGCTCTCACAATAGGGGTTGACTGCGCACCGAGGTTCCTGTTTATTTTTCAAACTCTTTAGACCTTCCTTTACCAGTCACCGAATTTTCCAAGTCTTCGGTGCCTATTAAAAAACAATAGGACCTAATAGAGACTGACTAATCAAAAACGCCTTTTCAGGCTTTAGTGATTCCTCTGAGATCATTCCGCAAGAGAAAAGCACAAGAGCACCATAAGAGTGTAACCAGAAATTTGCTGAACACAATGCAGTTTATTTGATGGAAAAAGGCTGAATCAAGGAAAAATTGTGCTCGTTTGAATTTGGAGGTGCAAAAACGAAAAAACCTTCCGAATGACCTAATACAAGCGCTCGCGGAGGAATTTCGACGAGATATGCGATCTTTACAATTTGGGAAAATTCATGAGGATGTGTATTTGTAGGCTCGTAACTCGGCGAATTTCACAGACTGGACCCTGAGTAATACACCATTCGATAGCACACTTCCTAGTAATTTTGACTGAGAAAAGCAAGCAGGCAAGGTTTCTGACAGATACGCGAGAACTACGGCCAAAGTTACGTACTTTCGTGATGAAGTTACAGTCACCTCACCGTATCTCTCCAAAAAGACCCTGTAATCCTCAAAGACCACGATTTTCGTAAAGAGCGTGTTCGAAAACCTCTATAAGCGAAGTTTCCTTACAATTCAAGAGCATCAACATTTTGACCAAAATCCATCGGCGCGCTTCCGGAGCGTAAAGCGAGAAAAAATGAAATGACCCGAACATATCGGAAAACTTGCTCGTAGAGGTTATGCGACCTGCTGATTTCGAAACTCACATCTGCTTAGCAAGATAGCTTCGCATCCTGCTGATATGGCGAGTAGAATTTGGGACGACAAGATTTTTCCACTATTCACCAGCCCTTCTATTTCCTTTGAAAAGAAACCTGTGACTAGTATTTAGCACATCATAATCTACAGAAAAAGTGCTATCGAAAAATCCTTGCTGAAATGTACTCGGGACAATGTTTGCTGCATTACACCTTCGCGAAAAGACGTCCTCAGAAAGATTCAAGAATAATGAAATCGAAATACGAAGGACATGCTGTATACAGGATGATTCGACTTAAAGAGCTGAGCAAGGCGCAGTTTTCGGATTCAAAATATACTTACTCCGAAGGAAGTTATGGCGAGTAGAATTTAGAAACGCGTGATTTTTCCAAAATTCACCAACGCTTTCACCTCCTTTGGAAAGAAGTCTGAGCCTATTTTTTAGCGCACAATAATTTACATGAACAGTATTATCGAAAAGTACTTAGTAAAGTTTCTATGTTGGGTAGGTGTTGCTTCACATATTCGCGAAAGGACCTCCGCAGAACAAATTGAAAAAACTGGAAACGGAATATCGAAAAAATCGTACCCCCACTTCCAATATATCAGAAGATTCTCCGCGCCGAGCTGAATCGAACGCTGGCCTTGGCTTCAGAATTCGTCCACTCTGAAGCGAGATATGGCCACGCGACGCTGATGTATGGACATGTCCATACATGTATGGACATGTACGGACATGTACGGACATGTCCATACATGTATGGACATGTCCGTACATGTCCATACATGTCCATACATTCGCGTCTTTTTTTCAAAAAATGTGAGCGGTATTGTATAAGTGTCTGATGTGGAGTGCAATCTGTGTGAACAAGTTGGAGATGCGGAGCATTTTTTCAACGAAAATATGAATTTTTCCTAATTTTTTGAGCTTTCAGGGCGACTCACATTCCGGATGTAAACTTACGATGGGTCGGAGCTATTTCGAACTTTTGCAAACTGTTTTGTAGAGCTTGGTTTGTTCTATCAAATGGTAGTCTGGAGCCCTATTGAAATTATAAGGTTACGACTTCTCGTCCTAAGAAATCAAAATGTAACAAGACTTATATAACAACCTAATATTTGAAGAGCTGCATAAATGTCGCCTAATCATAAGTAAGCTTGCGTCCTTGATCAAAATCATCAAAATATCTCATGAGATTACTGCCTGACCAATCTAATCCTACTCTTGCTACGAATGCAAAGATGATTTGAGAGCTCGCACAAAAACCAGATTATAGGCGAACTCATAGCTTTCCGTTCGATCATTAATGGTAGTTATATTAGCGGCATTCGATGTCTTTTTATAACAGAGCAACACCCAAATAAATGTCTTTGTGTAAACAATGAGCAATCCTAGAAATAGCTGTGCACATGTTCATTCCAGTTGCTTTTTTAGCTGTCCAGAAGTGCTCAGACCAGTACGTGAACACTCTCAAGACACTTGCTGAGTCAGCATCTAAAGCTTTTCCTGGAGCGAAGAAGTACGGAGAGGATTTGGAAGCGCTCTTGACCGAGTACGGTGAAAAGCTGAACCAACAGAGAAACTTTGTGAGGTTTTCTTGATTGTGCGAATGTAAGTCTATCATCACGATTGACACTGCAGAAATGTATGTAAATGTTGTCACATAAAGGCGATTGAGGCCTTCGAAAATATTTTGAATCAATCACGGGGTTTTGAATATGGGTCCATTCATTTGATTTGTGGATTTTATTTTGGTTGGAAACATACAGTCTGTGTCAATGCATCTTGGATTTGCTAGCGTACGCATAAATATAGGGGCCTGCAGGATCGCGAGAGTCGGACGTACGTACGGCCATTGCGCGGCGTACGTCCGATATCACTAAGGCAGGTGCCAGACTTATCCTCTTCAACCGGTTCGTTCGGTTCATAGGTCAAATCACTACATTGTCCAACAGCAAAGGTGGTGAACCAAATGAACCTGTTCAACAGGATAAGTCTGGCACAGGGCTCGGCACGAGCTGGCACCAGGGAAATTTCAAAACGAAGTCCCGTTTGATATTGAAATTTTCGTACGAAGTCCCTTTTGACCTGCTTTGAAAACCCGTCATCATTTTTATATTGTGTAAAAAAATGTAGTAGTGTTTTCATGCATCTCTGATTTCGTGAAAGAACTTTTCACAGCTTTCTGAGCTTTTTAAGTGGTCGAATCACATCTTGAGAAGCAGAAAAAGCCGATTTTTCGACTGCGGAGCGGGCCGAGTGGTTTTCAAATTGCTATAAAACGCTGATAAGAGAACATTATGAAACTGTTTCATCTCCGTATGTAATCTTTTACAGTGTAGATACGTTTTATATAAAAAAGTATGAAAACTTATGTCAGCAAAGTGTCGGTGCCAGCTCAGCTGGCACCCAGCTGGCACGGTGCCAGCTAATTCAGAAAAAAAGTTAGGCACAGCTTTCATTCACATAAGTTTTCATAAATTTTTGGCCCGTAGTTCCGGTCCACCAACGCGCATGCACACACCAAATTTGGTGTCATACTATTGAGTTCTGGCTGAAAACAACGCCTTTGTTTGTTGATGGACAGCTTGTCAATGGCATGCCGGCGGCATTCTTGCGGCAGTTCTCCGCCTCGGCCCCTGTAGAAACGATATCCCCTTTGCTTTCCGCCCTGAAAACGATATCCAGCTTGACCCGGTGCCAGCTGTGCTGAGCCCTGGTCTGGCACCTACCTGAGTCGTCGGTCGCACATTTGACGTGCGCGGCGCAATGGCCGTACGCACTTCCGACTCTCGCGATCCTGCAGGCCCCTATACGCACGTCCGGCAAGGTGGCGCGCGCACCACATGTGGGCGTATTGTTCTGATATGATATGACACTCCCGAAAACATGACGCGAGACTTGGCAGAGCTGACCATACAGTAGAAAAAACCACTACGTATTGACACAGACAGTACATATGTTGATCGCAGTTCCAGACTTTGTCTACTTGGTGAACTCAGACTATCAAACAAAGTTTATAGATTGCTGAATTTACCTCTATCGTTGCAAAGACGACGGGGTATAGCAACGAGGACAAGGAAAAGGTGAAGGATATGTATGCAAGATACCAGAAACAGGAAAAAGACTTTGAGAAGCAACGCAGAAAAGGGAGTAAGGTACAAATTTATGACAATTTCATCTATTACATCTTCGACGAATCCAGCAAACTATAATTTTTCAGACAGTATTCGACCAGCAACAGTTCGTAGAAGAATCTGCAAAGGAATTCCTGCGGCAGCAAGAAATGCGTTACAAATTTTTCCATGACAAACATCGAAACTGGTTTGCCATGTAAATTTTTTTTAATTCAAGATTTGTATAACCGGAACCCAAACAACGATATCTCAGGTTTCCGAGTTCAACCAAACCGGAAAACAATAACGTCAACGAATTAGATAATCATGAGGTAGAAAGTAGTAGTAGTACAAGCGAAACGGCCGCATATAAGCTCAATTTTATCTTTCCAGAATGGCAATGCGAGGAACAACAGAATAATTCTTCCTGAGAACGACTTTGTGAGCTTCCAGTACAATGATTAAAGAGTTTTACGAAGAATATTTGGTTATTTGAGCGGAGGTTACGGGGAACACTTGATCGCGTTCTTTGAGTGATAAGTTTGTTGCGCCCTCTGACTCACCTCGAAGAGTTCAGGTCAGGCAAATGAAAAGACGACTGTGTTTGCAAACATGGGCGGCAGAATGTTTTTGTTGTTTCTCTTCTAACAGAGCATGCGAGCGAGGGGACCATTCCAACCATAGCATGATACACATGTATGCGTGCACAGTAGTTTAAAGCTCTGACAAGCTTTATTCTGTATCTACTGCTACAGACGAGCTCAGCTCATCTACCTCTAAACCCTAACAGGGTAATGTCCAAGTTTTGTCAATGCAGAACAATCGTTTCTTGAAAAAGCAGCGGTATACATGGAGCTAGTGAGCGGATCCTCGTATATAAATGTTTCCCTTTCCCAAGCTCAATTTTTGCGCAGATTCCAAAAATCACCTTCATCTTTTTTGGAGCACTTCATTTTGAACATATACGAGAGACCGCCACTACAAATGACTTTTATTGTGAAACACTCATAATCATAATAGTGCGGCGTGTACATGACAATGGACAAGGTGTTTCCAAAAGGGGAGGCGCGAACATGTGCATAAAGTATGCACTCCTTTTTAGCGAGAAGTGCGCACTTATTGCAGATGCCCGCGGGAATTCCTGTTCCGCCAACATACAGTTCTCGGCGGCGTGGCAGGAGTTCCCAAAGCTTAGCCGCTTTTCCTCGCAGGGGGTACTTGGCACCTCCAAAAATCCCTTAGAGGACATCACACCTTCTCGGGGCCAAAGGGCGGCTCCGCCCATCATTCTTTCCTCTGGGTGCCCTCATTATGAATTGTGCACGCGGATTGTAAGACTCGTATTGTTTTTGATAATAGCACTGAAAACGAGAAACAAAAAAAAATTTCAGGTTAAGGTTTAGGATCTGTAGATGACTGCAGCTGAAGAACCAGCATTTCGAGTTACGTTTTATCACATTTCGAGTTACGTTTTATTACGCTTGGATAAAATGACGCTTCTCCAAAATTTTGTAAGCGCTCGCATTTGAGTAAGTTTGTGAAGAATACTGTATTAACATAAGTCAAGCAGAAGTTATCAGTGACAGATGAGTTAGTCAATTACACGCAAGTTCTAAATAAGAAAAAAAATGAAAAAAAAAATGAAATATCTTGCGAATTTGATGTCGTATTTGAATTCTTGGCAAAATCTTCAATCACACATGGGAGAGAAGTTTGATATTCTGTACATCGATTGTAGGAAATATTACGCTCAAATTTGGTTTTTGGTAATTAAGATCGTAATGGTCATTAGAGGAACTGGAATGAAAAACTCATTGAAATACACACATAATGGCAGACAAAAGCAGGAAAGTATATATGTTCAAGAAACTAGAGAAAGCGTTGAGTTGCTTATTCGGAAACTTTAATATACTCCTTTCAAACTAGATAGTTCTAATGTTAAAAAGGTAATAGGGTTCTCAGTACTTCTGGTCACTCAGTTATTCAACTCCAAATGCTAAATTGGTTAAATCAGATGAACAGGGATTTAAAGTTGATCAACTAAATTCTCTAATATTTCGAATGACCGAGTTTTCCATACAAAAATTCTGCGCAATTTATCTCTTTTGAGAATAATGTTCAAGGGCTCGTTTCTGAAAGGATTTCGTAGCAATAGTTTCCAAGCCTCCTCACTTGAGAAATGATAACTATGTTGTCCTTCGTTTTTTTTCCATTTTTTTCTCTTATTACCTTAATACTGAGTTCTATGCTCTCGCTCATTGCACACCTCACAATGAGACCAGTAAATGGGTGGAGCAATGGGCGTGGCCTGATTCCTGAAGCGCGAAGGTGTTAGAAGCCCCTTGGGTGCGAATGCTGGTGCGAACTTGGTGCGAAGAAAGGTGCGAGGAACTCCTGCACGCCCTCCACAGTTCTCCACCCTATTCGGCATCGTCCTCAAGCGGTGGAGCGGAGATCCCAGGTGGGCAGGTCAGGAAATTATGGCCAGCACCCGCCGACCACCCGGGCGACTCCACGCTCGTCCTGGGCGCGCTGATAAGTAACCGGTAAGCGCCCAAAGAAAACAGCGGGCCCGGCAAGCGTCCGATAAATGCGCGATATGCACCCGCGGCTGGCCTGATACTCACCCGGTAAAGCAACAAAGTTCATTTCAATGCTAAACTGTAAAGTATTTTTGAACAATTGTTTTCATTCTTCTCGACGTAGTAAAAAGGCAACTTCATCGTAGTATGAAGCACTTTACACTAAAATCAAACGTGACTTCTCTTAGATCTTTAGATCACCCTAAAGGCAGTGTCCAGGCGGATTCGAATCTGGCGGGATACAGATGTGATCAGACTCAGGCCACCCCACTCCTTCGGGCCCTACTCGACTGCACGATGTTACCTCTCCCCGAGAAAATTGCGCTGGAATCGTCTCGCGCTCGGACGATTCCGTTTACCTATTCCGCGCATTCATACCACCGCCTCCCGAACTTCCTGTAAACTCTCGTCCAAGCTTCCTTTCTGGAAAGTGTGTAAACGCCCTGATAACGGCCATTTCACCCGCTTTGAAGCTCGTATTCGGGTTCTACATGACGAGAATGCCCAAAGTATGCAGAAAGGTCGAAATGCAAAATCTGTCAGTACACCGCCTTCAATAATGTTCCAACAACAAGACCTGGCCCAGAACCATTTTGTCGGGCCGTGGCCTAACGGGCCGAGGCTTACCACAATAAGGTGAACGCTCATTCAAGCCCGGGGCTTTACCGAAATAAAGGTTGTCAAACAGATATATCTAGCGCAGCAGATGGTCAGTCCAGGAATTTAAGGTCCACGCACTGCCAAAAAGCAGTGTTAGGGCCCGCGGCTCGCGATAATTGTCTGAGTTAGGTGAGAGATTGCGGCTTGCAGCAATCTTGTGAGGCGCTTCTTCCGCTTGAAGGCTTGTGTCTCACCCCAGCTTTTGGTCCTGTCATATAAAAATATCACGGCTTTCACTCGCTCAGACACTAAGCAGTTACCCTTTGTGATACACTCGCGATATCCAAGCAGTAAATTTTGCGGTTATGTGAACAGAGAAATGATATTTCAAAACTTACTTTACCGTAGCTCAGGTGCGGAAAAGAAACAATGATACACCAAATTCAATGGAAAACTCTACGACTGTTGGCGTGCCGAGCAGAAAGTCGACAACGGTAAAAGCGCTCAGTTCTCAGTACAATTTATTTAGTTTTATACAGCGTCAGGAAACGATGAGTGAAGTGATCACGACTGAGGTCAAACCAGCGTCACACTCATACGTTAATCTTCAAGAAGTATGTAGAAGTAAAAACTCAATTACGAAAAATTTTCGAAGCATTCAGGATAAACGTATGTCGCAGTTGCCGCCAACGGCAGCGCCGCAAGCCGCAACAAACTCTTTCGTCGTACTCAGAGAGAACCCGCCAGCCGCTCAAGCAGCAGTCAGAAGTTCCTTCGTCCCAACCAGAGAGAGCCCAATGCCAGCCGTGCAGCCTGCAGCAACTAATTCTTACATTGCCAGGGAGAGTCCAAACCCAATTGCTCAAAGTCCGCCGCAGCAATTCGCAGCTAATGATTGGACAAACAACGTATCAGAGGTTCCACGAAGAGAATTTGCTCCGGTAGTAAGTAAATTACTGCTTGCACGCGCCAACCGCTCATAACTATTGTCGCACGTTATCTCTCACAAGGGAAGGATACCTATTCAGATACGCCCTTTGAGATGAGACACATATATAGTATGGAATCTGCTTGGATCGCTGATCCCAAATATGCTGTTCCTAGCTGCTTAGCATTATTTTGAAGCGAGTTATGGTTTGTTTTATATGCAATGCGTGCTCCTCGACCTACTGATGCTACGGTGTCGACGTCTAGGTATAATGCTCCCTTCCATGAACTAAAGAATTAATCTGATGCCAGTTCAACATCCCAGCACTTTTTTCGAGCAGATTCTATTCTACATGCCGTCTTACGACATTCACAATTTTGTTAATTACTCACAACAAAGCCTAGCACTCGCTTCGGAATAACCCTAAGCAGCTAGGAACAGCATACTTAGAATCAGCGTTCAAAGCTGATTTCAAATATATGTGCTTTATCCCAAAAGCCGAATCTAAGTTAGTATCCTTCCCTTGTCAGTTGAAACACATAGATAGTGAGAAATCGCGTATTGGTAGCGCTGAATTGATGCATGGTATTTGACTTCTCGTTTCCTCACTATGCATGCCTAGCTGCCGGCAATTGATCCTGCCGACTATCGTCCGGATGAGCCAGAAGTGAAAAGAGTGGTGAACGAACGTCGTCCGCCTGTTGGTGGTCGCCTGGTCTTGCCTACTTCGATCGATGCTTCAGCTATTGGAAATAGAGCTTCAATACACAATGTTGAAGAATACATCCAGCCAAACTATGCCGTCAATCGTCCAGTTCCTCAGGTCGCGCAAGTTCCACAGGTTCCGGCGAAGCCAGCAGGTTCGTTCATTTTATCATGATCTGTCATGTGGCCCCAAACGAGCTTTGAGCGAACAAGGCATCTTCCAAGCATCTGCTTTAGGATAGTTACGTTTAAGTTAGGGACGCTATTCGGCTATACGGGCATTGAAACTCTGAGCCATAAACCTAAAATTAGGCGGGTTTTTGTGCCATGGTGGTTACAAATGTCACACATTTTGCACCAAAACGTCTACCTGTGTGATGCGACAAATCGGTATTGGGTTAAAGGCAGTATTCGGACAAAAACCTGATTTTGAGATTTTGTGCTTACCGGGCCTATTCGCTGTGCTGAATCCGAAAATGCGCACTGGAGAGCGTGAAAACGGCGAAAAAGGGCTCCAACGCAGAAGGAAAATCTGCAGAGGGGCGGGGTCTTCACCACTGTGAATTCACACTCCCAGCTTCCGGAGCAATCTCGGCTTCGATTTCAAGTCACATGTTTGCACTTGGCCGGTGGTGATGTCAGCGCGGCCAGCGGAATCGAAAAGATCGCTCAGGAAGCTGGGAGGGTAACTTAACAGAGTAGAGACCCTGCCCACCTGTTGATTACTCTCCTGCGTCAGAGCCCTTTTCGATGTTTTAGCGCTCTTCGATGTGGATTTTCGGATTCAGCATAGCGAATATGCCTGGATAAGCACAAGATTTCGAAGACTTTTTGGCCGGACACTGCCTTTAAATACTCAGTCGCTAGAATCTATTCGAAGGGCGTTGTACGATTTTGATCACATACAGTGCTCAAGCCATATATAAGGTTTTGAGGACGCATGATGTTTGATTAGGATCAAAGGTATAGTTGGTTTGTTGACCGCACAGACTGGACATCACTGCGGAGCCAGGGCCCGGCACGAGTCGATTTATAGGATTTCTGAGAACGAAGTCTCACCTTACTTTCGGAAGTCGAAGTCCCCTTTGACCTAAATACATAGGAGAAGATGGAAACAAGAGAAACTACTAGTTTGAAAGAAAAAACGAGAGAAAAGAGTGAAAATTCAGATTGGAGCAGAATATTGCGCATGCACAAGAGTTCGGCATTGGAGCGCGATAACTAACAAAGCGATTTATGAAGAAATTCAGGCAAAAAACAAAGGAAAGGTATTGATATGAAAATGTTTTTATGTTCAGGGATAGATTTTTGACCGTGGAATCCGTCCATAATAGAAAAATCCAAAACGTATGTGAAGTGACAAAAATATATGCTCCAGACGATCTCAGATCGTCTGGTGACCGTCTGGCGACGGACTAATTTGAAAAAGGTAGTGCTTTACAGTTTTCAAATCTTTTTGCATAATTCTTTCGCAAATATTTTTCTATGTACACAGTTGAATTTTAGTGTCAAACGATTCTGTGTGCGCTGTAAAATTTGTTTATCTTGGCCTTACTTTTAAATCGCGCGCACTTTTCGCCATACACGATAGAGCATGTCAGTCGTGTGATAACCTGTCCGAAATGCTTGCGTTGGACTAAATGACGCTTATTCTTGGTACTCGGCTCCGACTCGTCAAAAACGATATCTCCTTTGCGCAGTGCGTGCGGTCAACAAACCGACACCTAATGTGCATTAAATGATTAGCTTCTTCAAAAATTAAAAGTATCGTTGGCGGTCTCAGAGCTAACATTATGTCAATCAGCAAGCAATCAGACACAACTAGGCAACCTGCCTCCAGAAGAGATTTCAAGCTTGCCGAGCCTTTTGCAGAAGCTTTTTCTGATAACCTGCACAGCGCTTATTGATTCTGCACTTCTGTTCCACAATCCGTTCGAATTTCCTACTCTTCATGACTTGGGTATTACGGCTATCCATGGGCCCACATTGTCAAAAAAACTCCGGATTTCTTGCCGACGTACTAGCTTGCAAATCATTTTTCGTTTTACCTTTCTTAGCCTTTCCACTGATTCAGGTGCACCAACGGGCCGCGGTTGTGCTTTTTCAGTTGCACTGTCTGATCACCCTCTACAGTGTGTCGGAGTCCTCCTAGCACACTGCGTCGTCGCGTATGCTCACAGCTGACGTTCTGAAAGTATCGGCCACAATATCCTATACTCACTTTGAACTTCTTGTCCTTGGTCAACAAGATGTTAAGTCAAAATTGTGACAAGGCAAAGATGCACAACGGTTAGCGTAAAGAAGAATTAACATGCGTCATGCTCACGCTTGGTTTGCTAGTCTTTATACGCAGGCAGGGTTCAACTTGATCCTGCTTCGGTAAGCGTTGAGGTGTCAGTCATACTTCAAACGGTTCAGCTAAACTGCGTTCGCAAGGAATTTTGCAGTTTGCCAAACGCCTACGAATCCGCGCGCAAATTTTCAATGCTTAGGCGCATATTTTCTATGAGCTGATAGAATCATTGAAGTAATACATAGCGTTTGAGATAACGCGAACTATGAGCTCCTAGAGCTTTCAACCCTTTCCTGAAAGAATGAGAACATCTGCGATCCAAACGGTCGAAGCATCTATGACAGTGAAGCGCGATTGCTTCCATTTTTTGCTGTTTCGGGAGTCACAGACCACTGCGTCGTACATTTCACTGCTGATGGAATGAATTTCTGCTGGGAGTATGAACTCTTCTATAAACCTATCCGAATGTAGTGTTACTTCAGCACGTCATTCAAAACAGCTTTGGACAAAGTCCAGCCAAATACGTGATCTCATCACCTTGCTCTATAGCTATCTAGAGCTACCCTAAAGACACCGAAGACGTTCTAGTGCAAAAAGAAAATATGTTTTCGTAAGAAGCACAGCAGATGAGACTCATGAATCAAGTCTGAGCGAAGTTCATGAATTAAGTTTTAAGAACGTGGGAGAGTCGGAGAGCTGAACGTTTGAATGATTACATAGTTGCTTGTTTGGATTGTTTGTTTCAGGTGTTGTTCCACCCTTGTTTGAAAACAGTGACTATGGTCGAGTTTTGATGGTTACTCAAGATTTTAATGCCACATCTGGAGAGCAAATCACAGTAAATCGAGGTAACAAGGTAAGCCACTTTTGGAGTTACGACACTCGAAAATCGATGGTGACTCAAAGTGTAAATTTCTTTTTTAACTATAGTTACCTTCCATTCGGCCGCATACATAACTTCTGCTGAAGTGCAGAGTTTAGCGCTAAATGATATACAGTCATCATGATTTCAGCATATACCTTTGCACCATTTTCCAAGTCCGCACTTTATCAAATATACGACGCCTTTTTTGAAGTTTTGCCTTACTTCTCATCATTTCAAAAAGTCATGGTGATGAATATACGTAACCGCCCTGCTCCATAACTTCAGGTTATACTCAATGTAGTAAGTGAGCTCCTACCCAACATGACTACTGAAATGAGGACTAGTGCAGAATAGAACTTTGCTGTAGCAGTTAGTGGTTGACTTGGTGATCCGCACTTGAAACAGAATTTGTATCATTGGGTAAAGTGATGACTGCTCTAGGAGGAATAGCATCGCTCTCATTAAAGTCGATATCAGAGTAGTTTGACTGAGTCACCCATATTCAGGTCATTCTCATAAAAAATGGAAAGCGTGGATGGATTTTCATCAGGGATGTCGACACTCAGAGGTGGGTTGCAATCATCAAATAAAGCCTAGTCGAGAATAAGTTGAAACTGGTAATGGCCAATTTACGCTTCATGGCCACTCTTCACTCTCAGTCAACAGATGTAGCATTTACAGAAGCGATTTTTTTTGGCTCAAATGTTTTGTGAATGCAAGAAACTATATTTACCGTAGAACTTACTAGCCTATCATGATTTGCGAAATGCCTCATGAATGATCGCTAATGATGTATGATAGAAAAGCTCTCCTGCTAGGGTCCCTTAGCGTTACTTCTGCCCATACCTTCTGCCCACCCGCATTTCTGCAGTGCTGGACATAATTATAAAGACACTCTAGAAATCGTCAAAATTTTCGTTCTTGTCAATGAATCTGTTTGAAACTTTGCTATATTGTGCGCATGTTGACCTCCCATGATCTCTTCAAAACGGCTTCCAATCTTGTTGAGTTTGAACGGAGAGAGGTAGAAAATTTTGAAAAAGCCGTTATGAAAGTATATAAACGATCACTGCATTTTTTGCTTTCAAAAGCATCAAAAGTCAATCTGTTTCAACAAACAGCTGGTTTGAGGAGTTTTCAAGCTCTTGTTTATTTCAAATGATAGTCATAAAATCTACTGAGCCTTTTCGATAGATAAGGTGTGAGGCGCTTGTAAAAACTCTGCGTAATCGCTAATATTGACGGACAGACTCCAACCTCACCATTGGGTTGACGCACTTTTGCGCCACAAAACTCGATTTTCAAGCAACAGAAAATATTGTAATGTAACCACTACAACAGCCATACAACAGTGAATCGCGTGCATGGCTACGAAAAAGTTTCGGAGTCGAGCATTTTGGTCCAGCCGCAGTTGACATTCACTGAATTTTAGTGGAGCACCCTGCACAGCCATAGTCAACTCAAATCACGAGATAAAATAGGAGACACCTGAAACTTCAAAATCTTAGCTAACTTCATTCATTGGGTGCTGTGACATGAAACAGAGAGAGAAAGAGGGAGATCTATAATTAAGTCGAATTTTTCAGATCTAAATCGCAACTGCATCACTAGGGAAAATCTGAAAATGTTGCAAAAGCTGCATCGCCATGTAGGCAATGTAATAAATCAAGTCCAGCGCTTGTGAACATTGCAAACAGACTTTTGTGCAGTAAAAGCGTGACCCTATGGTGAGGTTGGAGTCTGTCCGTCAATATCAGCGACTAGGCAGAGTTTACAAAAGCGCTCCACACCTCATCTTTCGAGAAGGCTCGGTAGATTTTATGACTAGCATTTGAAACAAGAACTTGAGAAGTCCTTAAAGGCACCGTCCACCCAGATTTTTGACTTCCACGTTTTTGTCGTTTCAAAGCCTTCTCATGTCCCTGATTCCAAATATGAAGTCGAGAATGCGCGAAAACCCGACAATGCCCGTTTCGGAGAACCCACAGGCCGGCTTTCCGGAACGGTGATTGGATGGGCGCGCACAAATGGGCGGGCATGGATGGGGTCCTCGTGCATCTTCGCTATTCCGAAGCGATTTTCTCGCTTCCGAAGTGGCATTTTGCGCTGCGACTTAGGCACTGCATTGATAGGGGGCCCTAGAATATATGCTGCCAAAAGCTCAACACCCCTCAACTTAGGGTGGACGATGTCTTTAAACCAAGTGTTTATTGAAACAGATTGACTTTTGATGCTTTTGAAAGCAAAAAATGCAATGATCGTTTCTATATGAATAAGATGACATGCCGTAGGTGTTGCAATTGTTTCATATTTTAGGATTCAGTTGTGCAAAAACTTGAGAGTCAAGGAATGCGGTAGTGATTGAACAAAATAGGTGTATTTACAATTTTGTCCAACTTTCATAACGGCTTTTTCAAAATTTTCTATCTCTCTCCGTTCAAACTCAACAAGATTGGAAGCCGTTTTGAAGGGATCATGGGAGGTCAACATGCGCACAATATAGCAAAGTTTCAGACAATCATTGACAAGAACGAAAATTACGACGAGCTAGAGTGTCTTTATAATTATGTCCAGCACTGTATGACTATATGACTCCAGAGAATTGTGCGCAAGACTAGCGTACGGTATGCGCACTAGAGACATCCACGCAATCGTGAAACAATAGATTCGTAACAGAGAATATGGAGTAGTTTCTGAAGTACAAACCTCACAGAAGCGTCTCTCATGATTAGCATACAGAATGTACTTGCGTCAATCTGTGATGTACATAACAAATAATACAATTCCAGGACTGGTTGGATTCCTGCACCATTCGTCAGTTACTGAAGCCTGTTTCATTTATTATATTCGAATATACTTTCGTGAGCTCTAAAAGTCACGAAACGACTAAATCAATTTGCTGTAAAATATACAATTTGTCTTCTTACGGTGAAAACATGTGTATTTGTTTTATCGTATTGATGCTTATATTGCCCTTGTTTGACGCGTACAAGGCGTGAGAGATTTTTTTCCCAAAATCGACCAACCCAAAGAAGCCAGACAATCAATCGAAGGACCATGTACCTTGATGTGTATTGCTTAAAAAAACCGCGCGCCATGCTTTCTTGAACCATGAAGCGGCTGAGCGGCTCTTTTGAAAAATCGAAAAAGGTGCGCTTTGTACGCGTGAAATTAGGGTACATGATATTGCACTCTTTCGCTTGCTCTTGAAGAAGCTGTGGATTGTACTCGACTTATAATCGTTGTACTGAATAAACGAGATCTATTGTTCTCTGAGTGTATCCTGAAATGTCCGAACACACTGCTAACAAGGAAAGAATGATTTGTCATGGTGCCCAAAAAATTATTGAAAAGCATGAAACGCATTATGCGAATCTGTTTTCCTTACGGAAATTCTTGGGTAAGCAGTGGGTGTTGGAAAAAAACCTCACGCACAATCCACACAGAATTTGTTCTTACAGTCTTACTATTGCTCACATGTAGCGATGAGCATATGTGGGAGCAAAAGTAATCATTGCATAGAGTGTCTTGACACTCAAAATTGCTTCATTAGACGGCACAGAAGTAAGTTCAATGTTTTTATAGCAGCCGCGTGTTCAATTCTTTCAATAAAATTGCCATTATTCTCGCCATGTAGAGTCCAGCATACTTGGGGAAATTCGAAATTTTCCATCGAATGACTGAATATCGAGTATCCGAAAATGGAAATTTTCGCTCAGAAGAATATCGTATAGATTCGAGATTTGAAAATTTTCGAACGAGTGAATCCCGAATAAAATCGCAAAATCAAAAATATCGAATGAATAAATGTCGATTATATTCGAATATTGGGAGTCGCGAATAAATGTTTGAATGATTTGTCGAATAACTGTAACAACCATATCTAAGGGCCGCATGCACCAACCTCCCTGCTGGGGAGGGGATTGCAGCTTAGAAGGAAGCTTTATATTTCGAAACTCCAGATACCTGGATTTCACATTGTGTACCTGTCCGTAAGTATTCCTACTATGCTTCACTATGAACATGTTGAACAGGAGCGAGAAGCTGTACGAACCGCATTTTCCAGCTTTTGTATGATCCCTGATGATCCCCGGCGCTTTTCCTTAAAGTCATTTTTCTTTCTCCGAAGTCAACGAAAACCTTCCAAAGTTGTACTAAACATCTAACAGAACAGTGCTAAGCATGTTGCTGATGAGAACAAATGAGTTTTTGAAAAGTCGAATTTCGGTAAACCTCAAATTTCGACCTGTGGATCATCGAAAATTTCATAACTTCAAGACATCTTTTGTTCTTATCAGCAACATGCTTAGCACTGTCGGGTTAGATAAACTGCACAACTTTGGAAGGTTTTCGTTAACTTCGGAGAAAGAAAAATGACTCTAAAGAAAAGCGCTGAGGATCATCAGGGATCAAACTAAAGCTAGAAAATGCGGTTCGTACAGCTTCTCGCTCCTCTTCAACATGGTCATAGTGAAGAATAGTAGAAATACTTACGGATAAGTACACAACCTGAAATCCAGGTATCTGGAGTTTCGAAATATAAAGCTCTCTTTAAGCTGCAATCCCCTCCCCGCGGGGGTGTTAGTGCATGCGGCCCTAAAAATTGCTGACATACCCGGCTAAAGCCGATTCATTTTCATAATCAGCACCCTCACACCCCCAATACCAACCAGCTCCTAGCTCAAGATTTTACAAAAATCGTTAAAATCGATAAAGCAGATTTTATTCGTAATTAGCGTCCTCGTTAACTCCATATCAACTCCCACCCCGGTAGCTCAAAGCTTTCCAAAAGTCGATAAAATCGATAAAGTAAATTTTTATTCATAATCAGCTGCACACCACCTGTACCAACTCCCAGCCTTTAAGCTCAAATTTTTCAAATGATAGAATCATAAGTGCGATAGGGGTAGCAGGGTCCCCTTCAGATGAAGGGGTCTCCGGTTATTTTCGACCTAGAAAAGTCGAGAGGGTGACTGAGCCTTAAAGGCAGCGTCCAGGCAAGATCCATCCACCTAGATTAGCACAAGGTTGTAAAGAGGGGCCCATGAGTATCCGATCTGCGTTGGTCCAATCCTTTGACGTGCCCTCTAAAAGGAGATACGGGCCTGTGATACGTATCACAAGCCACCTCTTCGTATCAAAAACCACCCTTGAGGACGAGTGTTTACGCAGGTGTGCGGTTGCATTGCAGTTGCATTGCAATTGCCCTGCACATGCAATGCAACTGCATCCGTGCAGTTGTGCTCCTCCCGCTCATGACGATGGGGACGAGCAATTCGAAACTCGTCCGCTCCTTGAAGAGAGGGTCCCCAAGAACCGGGTTTTTTGGGAGTTTTGAACAATTTGGACTTTACAACTGTAATCAGGGCCACGGAAAGGCCCTAGAATGGCAGAAACATGAAAGGCGAAATTTTGCCCGGACGCTGCCTTCAAGATGTGCTCACGCAAGCGTACATGCCCAATGGGGGCGGAAGGAAAATAAGTGTTATGGAGAGATGTAAATATGAAGATTTTCTCAATGGTAGGCTTTGGAAGGTCATCCAACAGAGACTTTTTTGACTTAGGGAAGCTTTATGTTTCATCAGTCGTCATACCATTCGAAAGCATGGGACATACAGAATCGACGTAGATTGTCTCTTTTTTCCAGCTCTACTGTGAATTCAAATATAAAAAAATCATATCTAGCTTTAGCATCAGCTGATTTTATGCAATCATTGCGCTCCCTTAAAAAGAGACGGTCTACGTCTACTGGCGAAGTCTTGCTCTGTAACAGGGTTAGACAACAAGGCATTTTCAGTCACTCTTTGCATAATAATTTCTCCATAAAAACACACATGTTTTTAGCTAAAATGCCATGCATCTCTGGGAGGGGATCTAGAGAAAAAGAGACGGCCAACCTCGAATCCCTGTTTCGTGAGCTTTCTAGAAATGTATAGGTTGTTGAGTGAAAAAACTCGTGGCTTTTCAAAAATGAGTTGGAGATACTACTATCTTGCTCCACCCCGCTCTTCGCTTGTATGGGTCGCCAGAGCAAGACTTTCTTGGATTGGGAAAGCTTTGTGAACCAACGCTTTGTACTCCTTCCGGTAGCTAAGACGAATCGACGTAGACCGTCTCTTTTTCCCTAGCTTTTCTGTGAGACGAGATATGAGCAGTTTTATCTAGCTACAATAAAGTGCTGTTCATAATTATACGAACACCTTATATTTTGAAAGTTTTTAAACTTTTTGGAGGAAACTCAAAAAGCCGTTGGTACCACGCGATAGAACCCAACCGAAAACGGTATATGATCCATAAGAATGGGAATCGATGTCAATCTTAGGAGTGTTTTTGAGCCTAATGCGAATTTTGAGCGGTTCATAATTATACGAACACCTCAAAAAAGGCCTATTCTTCATCCGCGAGTGCAATCTTTCGAGTCCAAATTTTTTGTAGAGTTACAGTAACAAAGTCTGAAACATCCGCTACACACTGAACCCAGTGCAGTCCAAAAAGAGGATCTTTACTTTTTTCAGATGGCTCTAAATGCTTTTGGAGTGATTGCGCTCCAAAAACATCCATTCTTCTGTAGTTCACGCACTCTAATTAGCTTCTACCAAGGTTATGAGATAAAGTAAGCTCCTTCGATAGGTATTTTGTTTAACGCTTGGAAACTCTTGCGTTTCCGTGCCTTTTTTCAACCAATTCTCAAACTTGCCCTAGAGTTAGCACGATTTCCAGCCTCTAAACTCAGCTTCTGAAGCCCTACAATGAAGTAAGCTTATAGTATGTAGAAGTTCTCAAGACAGTGTATTTGGCTAGAAAAAATCAGCAGCACTGAGCGTTTGTTTCGGCCACGCAGACGTCATTTCACCAAAGGCACTGTTTTTACTTTTGCACTCACACCTTCATTTGGTTTGTAGCTCCATAACCTCAAGATCAATTCCACAAAAAAAAACCAAAAACTTTGACATGGATACATCAGCATGCAAAAATTGCAGCTGCTTCATAACAAGTGTTTGCGCAAGAGAGAAGCTGAGTTTTGAGGCTCGAAATCGTGCTAACTTTAGGGTGATGTTGAAACTTGGTTGAAGAGCGGCACCAAAACGCATAGATTCTCCAAGCGTCAAACACAATACTTATCGAAGAAGCTTATTTTATCTCATAGCCTTGGTAGAAGCTAATTAGTGTGCTTGAACTGCAGAAGAACGGATGTTTTTTGGAGTGCTTCAAGTGCTTTTGGAGCGCAATCACTCCAAAAGCACTTGAAGCCTTCTGAAAAAAGTAACGGTCCTCGTTTTGAACTGCACTGGATTCAGTGTGTAGCAGATATGTCAGACTTTGTTATTGTAACTCTTCAAAAAATTTGGACTCAAACGATTGCAATCTTGAGTGAAAAATGGACCTTTGTTTGAGGTGTTCGTATAATTATGAACCGCTAAAAATTCGCATTTGGCGCAAAAACACTCATACAATTGACATCGATTTCCATTCTTATGAATCATGTACCGTTTTCGGCTGTGTTCTATCGCGTAATACCAACGGCTTTTTGAGTTTCTCCCAAAAAGTCCAGAAACTTACAAACACCGCACTTTATCAGCCAATTCTGAGTAATTATCTCTTGCTTCATTTTTAAAACCAAGGTCTTTTTCAAAGTTTCTACATGATTCGAAAGCTTGAGAAACGTGTAATCTAAATTCTCTTTTACTTGTTATTATTCTCTTTAGTGAAAGAAGGTATGGTACTATTCTTCTCAGTAAACATGCATCCATCACTAGCATCCAGTCCAGATTTCCTACTCTCGCTCAACTCTTTTTTTGCGACAATCACTCATTGACTACTCATTGATAGAATGTTAATTATGCAAAGAATTAGACATCCTTTTGATTTTTGATTATGTTTCGTTATCAACGCCACTTTGAGTGCGCAGGAGCTCTCAAGCATGCGTTTTTTTCTCAACAGAACCGTGTTTCGATGCTCTCTTGCAGTCTTGATGTCTGAGGAGAAGAGCAGGAAAAGAGCAAAGGGTGTTTCCTTTCCAAACAAAAGTGTCGTTATAACGCCTGTTTTACTCCACCGTTATGCTTAGAAATTAGTTTCAATCTCAGGTGAAAGGGGTCAGCCAGATGCCGGCCCTAATGCGAAGGGAATCAGAGAAATTTCTCCACCTATCGCGTCTATGCAAGCTCTACAAGATGGTATGCAAGAGTTCGCACCAGCTCCGAACCACCGTAAGCTTGCATCCGGAATGTGAGTGGCACTGAATGCTCAAAAAATTAGGAAAAATTCATATTTTCGTTTAAAAAAATCCTCCGCATCTCCAGCTTGCTCACGCAGATTGCACTCCACATCAGACAATCATATGTACCGTTGCTGTAAATTTCCTCATCTAGAAATTGAGAAAACGAAAACTTTCTTATTTTTACAAAAAACGGAGCTATGATGTTCCTATCTATATAGCTGTATACTACAAACCCTTAGAAGTATAACCGTAAATTTTCAGCTTTCCAGAACTGGTTTACAAAAAATACCGGATTTAATTCTTTCACTTGCGTGTTCATGTTAAATTAGGTAATTTTCGAAAACTAGCGCTTCTGAGGCCGTATTCATCATTGATAACTTGAGGTAAATCCTACATTTAAATAGTTTTATCACTCATTATCATATAGTTTTATCACTGATAATGAGTGATAAAACTACCTGGAAGTAGGATTTATCTCAAGGTATCAATGATAAATACGGCTTCTGGAAAGTTGAAACTTCTAAGGGCTTGTAGTATACAGCTACATGAACAGAAACAGCATAGCTCCGTTTTCATAAAAACAATGAAATTTTGGTTTTCTCGATTTTTAGATGAGGAAACACAGTAACAGTACGTGTGAGTGTCTAATATAGTGTGCAATTTTTACGAGCAAGTTGATATTCGTAGGATTATTCTGAACAAAGATATGAATTTTTCGCGGTTTTTTCGAGCCTTCAGTACGACTCAGTTTTTGGATGCTTACGGTGGTTCGGGCTGGTGCGAAATTTTGACACTGTCTTGTAGCGCTTGCTTTGCTCTATCGAATTTTTTGAACAAAGATCCTGGAGCTCTGTAAAGAATATGAGGTGCATGAATTATCGCCGTAAGAAGTTAAAGTGTAACACGACTTATGTAACAACCTAATATTTGAGGTTAGCGCACTAAGTAGCACTAAGGACATTCTTAAACTGAAACCTTATGACGACGTTTGACGTATATACTATGAGACCATCGTGTCGTTACGCGCAGAAGGTCTTCGTTTTACTGTGAGAGGGTCTGTAGCATTTTTCAAAGTATACATAGAGTTGTGCCAAACAACAGGATGAACGTGTCAATGATACACTTTGAAGCTGTTTAGTTCCTGGCAGCATACGTCAGATATTGAGGCTGGTTCACTAATCATAAACAAATATACTCGGGAATTCGTAGCTACTATTGTATGGGACTTTTGTGGAATTTTGGATAGTGTACTGTGTATGCGTAAATGTCTTTCAAACAACCAACTGGATCCAAGTTTTCGAAGATGAAGTTACACATTTATTCAGTCAAAGACGAATTGATTGCATAGGAGCATTTGATTGAAGCTGATGAAGGATAGGCTCAGATTATATGACATTTGAGGTTTTGTCCATCGGATGGATGGAAATATTCATGAAAGTTATTCAAAATATAGAGGTAGCAAGGGCGTAGCAGATGTATACAAAAACCGAAAAATCTACTATTCTTTACGTGAGGAGGTTATTATTGTCTTCTTCTTTGCAGTTGCGCATAGCTTCTTCCAAAAAACCTGAAAATAGCATATTACTAGGCAGAAAGAGAGGTGTTTCCTAAATTAAAAACAGCTTCAAGATAAATCACATGGCATTGTCTCAGACTGACAATTCAAGGATGGTTAGTCATTGCCACTGCTTAGGATGTGTTCCATACTTTCCGGGGAGGGGGGGGGGGGGTGTAAAAAATTAATTTCATGTCTGATGCTTTATGAGTTCAAGGAGCAGAAGTTAGACAGTCGCATATTTTAGGAACAGAATTGGAACTGCGCTGCATGGCAAATAGTAATATGTATTAGGTTGAACCGAAAGTTCTGTCGCACCATTTTCAAAAAATCATAACTTCTTTCGGTCACAATGATTTTGCGCAATTCAAATTTTGTCTGAAAGCGTAAAGCATGTAGTTTCCAAAAGCTCCCTGGTGAGCTTCCGAAGTGCTCAGGCGGCAGAGATAAAAATGAAAGAAGGAGATCATCCGAAATTCGGAATTTTTAAGCAAGAATTCTAGAAATTCAGAAACAGTGCGATAAAATCCAGAAAAGCCATTATCCTAATTTTTCTTACATTTGATTACTATCTGAGTCAAGTTTGCGCTGATCGAGCCCTTCTTTCAAAAGTTATGATTTTTTGAAAAATAATGCCGAAAAATCAATTTCCCAAGAATTCTTAAGAAATGGATTTTTTGGCATTTTTTTTCAAAAATTCATAATTTCTCAAAGAAAACCTCGATCAGCACAAACTTGACTCAGATAGTAATCAAATGTAAGAAAAATTAGGATAATGGCTTTTCTGGATTTTATCGCACTGTTTCTGAATTTCTAGAATTCTTGCTTAAAAATTCCGAATTTCGGATGATCTCCTTCTTTCATTTTTATCTCTGCCGCCTGAGCACTTCGGAAGCTCACCAGGGAGCTTTTGGAAACTACATGCTTTACGCTTTCAGACAAAATTTGAATTGCGCAAAATCATTGTGACCGAAAGAAGTTATGATTTTTTGAAAATGGTGCGACAGAACTTTCGGTTCAACCTAATATTTGCTGTTTTTCGTTTCACATTTTAGCAGAAGTGTATAATAACTTGCAAAAGCAAAGAAGGTTTTTTTTGGAGGTATTCAATACAACAAAAAGGAAAAAACATATTAGGTTGACACAAGTTCTGCAACTGTCCATAACTTCTTTCTCCTTGCATGAAACGCATTCCTTGGCGTTATGTAGAGTCGGAAGTGGGCTATAGACCTGCGCAAATTTTTTGATTTTTATGACAAAATGGAAGACTACACATTTCCTTGAAAGCGATCAAAATCGGGTTTGTACGGGATTCTCGCAAACACGAAGACGTACAGAAAAGAATTCAACCAATTCAGCCGAAACTGCAGGCAAAATGTTCTCAGAGGTTGGCTACTGAGCTCATCGAAGAAAGAATTGTAATTCTAAGTCAAATCGAAATCTGGCAACCTTGTGAACTTGCACGAGTCGAATGCGTCAGAGTTGCCTCAGAAATCCATCAATATTAAAGAGTCAGAACGGTCGAATTTTAGCGATACTTTGCACAGTGGGATAATTTGACATGCTGAACACGAATATCATATTCAGTTGTCGTCAGAATCAGAAATTAGCCCAATGATTTTTTGGAACTTACAAGGGAAGGACACTAACTTAGATTCGCCTTTTGAGATGAGACACATATACTTGGAATCAACTTGGAACGTGATTCTGAATATGCTGCTCCTAGCTGCTTAGCGTTATTCTGAAGCGAGTTATGGTCTCTTTCTATGCGAAGTTTGCGTGCTCCTGGACCTACTGATGCTACGGTTTCGACGTCTAGGTGTTTTTGCAATTGTATAATGCCCCCTTCCAAGATTGGAAAAATTAATCTGATGCTAGTTCAACATCCTAGCACTTTTTTTCGAGCAAATTCTTAGCTACACGCCGTCTTACGACATTCCGAAGTTCGTTAGTCGCTCACAACAGCAAGCTCATAACTCGCTTCAGAATAATGTTAAGCAGCTAAGAACAGCATATTTGGAATCAGCGTTCAAAGCTGATTCCAAATATATGTGTCCCATCTCCAAAAGCAAATCTAAGCTGGTATCACTCCCTTAGTTTCTCCTTAGCAAAATAAGCCTTTCATGAAAATGAATATCATTTTAATAACCAGGATGTCGTATAACATACGACATCCTGTATATATCATATATACCCTTACACCAAGTTTCATTCGAATCTCTGGCAGTTTTTTACAGGCATGCAATCGGAGCGCGATATCGATCAATGCGCATGTTTGTGCTGTTTTTGACTCAAAAAAGAGGAGATTTAATGGTTTGATTTGCATCACTATATTGTAAATTTTAGCGATCTAATCGTCCAAATCAATAAAGTCCGAATTAATTGAACTTTCCGATATTTATGCTCCGAACCAATCAGTCGATTTGGCGTGGTCTAGCACCAAAAAATTCCGAGAACGGATACTAGGGCACACTAGTTTTTTGAAACTTTCACTTTATGTAGTGAGTAAGATCGTGTACACATAGCCCATATTCATTGTCATATGAACAAATCATTTGTTGCTATAAACAAGTCATTTGTTTGGATCGGCCTGGCTTTTGAAATTCGCGCGCTTGCGAAAGAACGCGTCCAACTTGCACAACTTGACATGTTTGCCCATTTCCCTGGGTTCCGCTCCGGGCCTTGCAAAAACGATATCCCCTTTGCTTTTTACCCCAGAACCGAAGTCCTTTCTGAACCCAGACTATCTGCGCCGCTCCCTGACTTGGAGATCGACCTTAAGCAACTCTTGTTGTGGCTTGTTTAGCTGGGGTGAGGGAACTTACATACACAATAAGGTTGCCGCCGCTTAATTAGTGGAGTTCACGAGAGGTCAACTGGCAGCAACGCTAATTTGCACTCATTTTGCACCGAAGTTGAGCTGATTCTGCTCACGGTAACTCCGTCATCATCCTGCAGCCTATGAAATCGGAATTTCTTTGAAATTTGAATTCAAAGTTCAGTAGTAAAATCAATCCAATTAGGGCAAAAACTTACATTTAGGGGTATTCTATCACGCTGATTCCGAATATGTTGATCGTTTTACTTGAAACCTAGGATTTTTTTCTTTTTTGAATTAAAACTTGTTTTCACAAAAAAAATTTCAAAATTTTCAAATTCCTGTCGTTGACAAGTTGGCTATCACGTGCATGGCAACCATGACTAATTGCAGGTAAACGAATTTCGTTAAATTATGTATTCAGAATATTTTGGATCGATGTAGCTTGGTAATTTTGGGGTTTTATATTTGGGGTTTAAAACAGCATAGACCGTGACACTTGGATTGGTTCAAGGTGGTCTTTCTGAATAAGCAAATTCTTATTCGATGTTGAAGTCCATTTCGGATTTGAGAAATTTTTGACATCGATACGATTTTCGTTTTTCGATCTAAGGTAATATTGGAGCAAGATAGTTTAATCGAAATCGGACTTATTTTATTTTCTTAAATACAGCAGATTTTTTCCGTTTGTTATCCAGGTTTATCAAATTTGCAGTGAAGTTTCCGAAAAAGAGCTTGAGAAGCAGAAAATTTTTGAGGTTTCAAACAAAAACATCAGCTTTTTCGGAAACAGCATGTCAGAAAACTCTTACATAGAATTTTTGAAATTTTTGTTGGAAAATTTGTGAAAACAGGTTTTAATTCAAGAAAGAAAAAATCCTAGGTTTCAGGTAAAATGATTAACATATTCGGAATCAGCGTGATAAAATACCCCTAAATACAAGTTTTTACCCTAATTGGACTGAAATCATTACTGAACTTTGAATTCAAATTTCAAAGAACTCCGGTTTCATAGGCTGCAGGATGATGACGGAGTTACCGTGAGCAGAATCAGCTCATCTTTGGTGCAAAATGAGTGCAAATTAGCGTTGCTGCCAGTTCATGGCCTTTCATGAACTCCGCTAATTAGGTGGCGGCAACCTTATTGTGTATGTAAGTTCCGTTCCCCGTTTAGCTGTACACCGGGATTGGTAGATCCTTTATTTGACTAACGTTTCGGCGGTATCGCCTTCTTCAGAGTCTGAAATTGTCGAATGCATAAGTGAACTATCCGATCAAAAACCGCTTTAAGACTCAGGAAGACGCCCAATGCGTCAGTAAAACAAGAACTCGAAAGTGAATGCAGGATTAAACTAGTGCTTACCTAAACAAGACTGCACGACTCCAGGATGCATCATATGCCCGCAGGGCAAAGAAGGCGATTGCATGGTTGCGGGGGTAGTGTACCTGATCACTTGTAAAACATGCGGAGGCACGTACATTGGCGAGACGGGGCGCCCTCTATGCGTACGCGTCAAAGAACACCTAGACGGGCTCAAAAGATCGAACACTGCTACTCCACTGGGCAAGCATCGCAGACAGTTCCATAATGACGCAGACATACAGGTGGAGGCCACGATCTTAGCGTATGAATCCGAAATCCTAGCGCGCAAGACTTTAGAGGCGTTTTGGATTACCGCCAAAAATCCAAATTTGAATCGAAAAGATGAGTGCATAGACATCACTAATGAGTTGGCGCCTTATCAGAGCCTTTGCGGCTTCTGAGGTCAAGTTGAGGCCAGCCCACTAGGTATATAAGAAAGTTAGAGCTAGGTTACTGGTATAGTGGTCTGCAACACCACTTTGTCGGCATTTGTTTAGGTAAGCACTAGTTTAATCCTGCATTCACTTTCGAGTTCTTGTTTTACTGACGCATTGGGCGTCTTCCTGAGCCTTAAAGCGGTTTTTGATCGGATAGTTCACTTATGCATTCGACAATTTCAGACTCTGAAGAAGGCGATACCGCCGAAACGTTAGTCAAATAAAGGATCTACTAATCCCGGTGTACAGCTAAACAAGCCACAACAAGCATTCTACAACATGCCGAGATTAAACGACAGTCGAACATGGTCAATACTGAAGAAAGTCCCAGCTGACTCCTTTCGACTCGCAAAAGAAGCACTTTCACTGAGACAGAAGATCGTCTCTGAAAGGCAGACCCTCCACTTTCTTCGCCGTTGCTTGAGGGAACAAGTCATCCCGAAGTTCATCTCTCAGAAGCAACTTTACCATCTTTGCGGTCTACCAAATGGAAGCTCACAGATAAAGAAAATTGAACAACATATTCTCCGTACTGCGCTACGGGCAAAACAAGATCATTTGTATATGTTACTTTCTAAGTGTTTGTATAAAGAACAGTGTTGTATGCGATATATTGATGAGCGCCTTTGGAAGAGAATCGTGGAGGAGTCGAAGCGCATCTGTGATCGTATTCGATCTAATGCCAAATCTAGACTGCAGGAAAAGTTCAAAAGGTTAGTGGAACAGGAACAAAATCGTGTTTTGCAGGAGCCGACTAGTGCAAGTTATAATATCAACAACAACCAGAACTATGCTCTTAACGTTTCTGACAATGTGCCTAGTCGTCCTCGGGTTTCAGTGATAGGCAATGTACTCATCTCAGAAAATGCGCTTTCATTGTTGGATCTTGGTCCAAGTTTCGCTCCCACTCAATCGATAGGACCTAGGATATCTCGCAAGATCGTGGGAAACCTCCAATTTGTTCGCGAAAGACTGCGCCAACGAGCCAATGATATGGAAGCGTAAGAAGCGATCAAAATGTTTCTGCCATAAATATGCCTTCAATACCATTTCCTAAGCTAATGCACAAACCTCAAGAGCCCAATCAGGTAGTAGATACTAAGTTTCGGGTTTTTGCCACCTCGCTCTTCTCAACACTCAACCAATTCAGCAAAACGCACGAAAATAGTAATTTAACGACTGCCCAACGCCGCGGCCTCCGTGAACTCCGTGATCTCTGCGCTGCTGGTGAGATCAAACTATCCGTCAGCGACAAAGGAGGAGAATTTGTTGTCTTATCACGTGAACTGGATATGGCTATCACAGCGAATCACCTGGCGGACAGTACAGTGTACGAGAGCTCATCGGAAAACGAATTCAGGAGACAATACCGCCACTTGAACAAGGTTTGGGTTGAGGTTGCACGGTCTGAGGGACTACATAAGGGAGTATTGTAACGCGTCTCAAGATTGATTTGCCTATATGTCCGGTTTTGTACACTTTGATAAAGACCCACAAACTAGCTTCTGCCAGTTTCGCGTCAACCAATCCTAAGGATTTCAAGGTTAGACCAATTATTAGCAATGTCGGTGGGCCAACGGACAGGATCTCATGGTTTTTGAATTTGGTGCTGTCACAGCTGATAAAGTTCGTCCCTTCGCATCTCTCCAATACAAATGTGTTCTTAGATCGTCTTCTTGGAACGCGCGTTAACCAAGGGTGCGTGGTGGAGTCTTTCGACGTAACTTCGCTCTTCACCAACGTTTCCAACAGCGAGGCCATGCAAGCTACATTCGAGCTACTTCTCGAACACCAGTCTTCGTTGAATCTCCATGGTTTTAGCATCAGGGGGATCATGGTACTCTTGAAGGAGTGTCTTGATTGTACAGTCTTTCGCTGGTGTGGTAACTATTACAAACAGATCAGAGGACTCGCTATGGGCCAGCGCTTAGCACCTACATTGGCTATCGTCTTTATGTCTAAGATAGAATCTCCCGTACTCGCACGGAAACCACTTCTCTTCTGCCGTTACGTCGATGACTGCTGCATAGTATGCTCCACCCAAGAAGAGCTGGATCTCTGTTTTAACATCCTCAATCAGCAGTCTCGTCACATAAGGATCACACGGGAGAAGCCTAGTGACAATTGGCTGCCGTTCCTGAATGTCGAGATGCAGTTGTCAGAGAATGGTTGGAGAACTCGATGGTATCGAAAGCCAGCAGCAAGAACATTCTAATACATTGTTTTTCAGCGCACCCCCGGCAAGTCAAAAAATCAGTTGTTGGAAATATGTTCAAAACAGCTGTGAAAGTCTCCTCTGACGCGCAACAAAAGGCTTACTCTTTAGCACTAGCTGACCGCGTAGCTCGATCTAACGGTTATAAGTCCTTCAGGCACAGTTATGCAAAACATCGACGAGTCCGGGACAATGTGGTCACAGAAACTGATGGAAAGATCCCTTTCTGCTTGCCGTATATCTCAGAAGAGTTCAGCAAGTCGGTCAGAAGATTAGTGCTACAAGCGGACCTTCAGGATTGGATAAGGGTAGTTGACATACCCCCTACCAACCTCAAACATCAACTAGTGCGAAATAGGGCGTATGATAGACTTTGCACGACTCCAGGATGCATCATATGCCCGCAGGGCAAAGAAGGCGATTGCATGGTTGCGGGGGTAGTGTACCTTATCACTTGTAAAACATGCGGAGGCACGTACATTGGCGAGACGGGGCGCCCTCTATGCGTACGCGTCAAAGAACACCTAGACGGGCTCAAAAGATCGAACACTGCTACTCCACTGGGCAAGCATCGCAGACAGTTCCATAATGACGCAGACATACAGGTGGAGGTCACGATCTTAGCGTATGAATCCGAAATCCTAGCGCGCAAGACTTTAGAGGCGTTTTGGATTACCGCCAAAAATCCAAATTTGAATCGAAAAGATGAGTGCATAGACATCACTAATGAGTTGGCGCCTTATCAGAGCCTTTGCGGCTTCTGAGGTCAAGTTGAGGCCAGCCCACTAGGTATATAAGAAAGTTAGAGCTAGGTTACTGGTATAGTGGTCTGCAACACCACTTTGTCGGCATTTGTTTAGGTAAGCACTAGTTTAATCCTGCATTCACTTTCGAGTTCTTGTTTTACTGACGCATTGGGCGTCTTCCTGAGTCTTAAAGCGGTTTTTGATCGGATAGTTCACTTATGCATTCGACAATTTCAGACTCTGAAGAAGGCGATACCGCCGAAACGTTAGTCAAATAAAGGATCTACCAATCCCGGTGTACAGCTAAACAAGCCACAACAAGCATTCTACAACATGCCGAGATTAAACGACAGTCGAACATGGTCAATACTTAAGCAACTCTTTACTTCCTTTGAGATCCCAAACGGATATAGTGATTTTCTCGAAACTCTGTGCAAAAAGGATAATAGAGATGAAAAGGCCAACATTCTCAAATCGACGAGTACACTTCGGTGAATATAGAGAAATAAACGTAAAAATCTGCTTAATATGCGAACTCTCACGTGCAAACTTCGTTTGTAGTGCAACAAAGCACCTACGAATCCGAGGAGGATTGGATAATAAGTAAGGTATTAGGTCGTTCCATAACTTCGTAATGCATTCTCATCCTCATTTCCTTCAGAGGCGGTTGATCTGCGGCAAGATGCGTACGTCGTTGAGAAGAGCTATTATGCTGTATCATGAACTTAAGTCTTAATGGAAACTTAACCCACTTCGATGTTTCAGCTTTCAAAGGTATATTTCTCAAAAGGCAAAAAAAGCATTTTCGACAACTGCTCGATTTTTCTGCAAAAAGGTGTCTTGCATAGATTTTTCTGCCGATTATGGAAATAAGCGTTTGCACATCAGTATGAGACACAATGAATTGATTTGCTTCAGAACTCCAAGGGTTGAACAGGGTGTTTCTTGCACAGAAAATCGCTGGACAAGAACAAAACGGTCGAACACACCGTAGACACCAAATTGTTGAGTTTTGGAAAGGCTCGTAAATCAGGGTACGAGTCAGCTTCTCGGGTTTCTCGAAACGAAGTCCCCTTGACTTTCGAAAATTTCACGAAGTTCTCTTTGATCCCTATCGAGAACCTATTGGCCTTGCTGCTATGTTTACATGTATCGTAAGGACGGAAGAATTGAAACAAAAACCAGAGTCAAGGAAAATGCTGACACGCCCAAGAGTTTGGCATTAGGGCGCGACATCTAACGAAGTACTAATAAAATGAAAGTAAAAAACAGAGGAAAGTCAACGATATGAAAATATCTTTTTGCTTATGGATAGTTTCTTGTCCGGGGAGTGCGTTCATGATAGGAAAATCAAAACTTATCTGAACTTACAGAATTTGCTCTACGTTCACAGTTCGTACGGCGGCCGTTTTGAGACGGACTGCTTTTGGAAAAAGTACTACTTCACATAAATTTCCAAAACTTTTTACATGCTTCTTCCGCAAATATTATTTTTTAGGCATATGATCCAAATTTGGTGTCATATCATTGCTTCCTGGTTGTAAACAAGGCATTTGTCTATTTTGGCCTTGCACTCAAATCGCGCGCGCTTTCTGCAAACACAATAGAGCACGTTTATCGTATAATAACTAGTTTCTTAAATCGTGTTCTCTTGAATGTTAGTCATATTCTTGCATAGCATGATTTACGATATCTCCCTTTCTTTCCATCCCACAACGAAATCCAACCTGCATCCAGTCAATCTGTGCCGGGCCCTGTTGTAAATCTGCAGGCAAGGTGGCAGAAACGAGTGCAACAAAGAGACATACGTTATCTGTTGGGATTTGAAGAATCTTGTTATTTCGTTAGTTTATGGAAACGCTGCGCACTTATGAAACGACCTGATGATACTGAAGAACCTTCTGGAGGTTGCGATAAAAAAAGGAGTATTACTTACGAACTTCGGCTATGTTTGCACAGTTTTTTTCAGGGGATTTCAACTTGCGATTGTCACCCAATGACACGATAAACACTACATTAATCGCCAAACGATGAACTAATATTCCTGATCGCACTTGAGCGCGACTACTTGACTTCTGCTCTTAGAAAGCCTTATACCTCCTTGTATAGCTCCGCAGATAAGCAGGGCGGATTTGGAGTTGGCACTTGATGCCCTCCAAGACCGTGTACATTCCATTATGAAAAGCACACAATCATGCTTTCCTTGTTAGCAACAATATAAAGTTGGCCTTACCTCTCTTCATTTCTCGCACAATCACTGTCATTAGCTTGTTCCATCCTAAACGTGCCAAGCAGTTTTCTCCACTGTAGGCGTTTGCTAGGGCCTGAAGTGCATGAAATCTTTAAGGACAGATGCATGCTTCTTCCAAAGCCACCGTAGACGTACAGGGACGATAATTGTATCCGTTTCGGTTTCTATTTTAAGGAGACCATTTTGCTCGGGATCACTGCTACTGTCCGTCTGTCCAGTGGTGACCTGATCAACTGTTACTCTTTTGAACACCAGCCAGTTGTCAGCTCCGAAGTTTACCCCTCTGGAAATGAACGTACTTTACAATGGAATGTAATTTCACGACTTTCTACATTTTTCTTCAACAAAACATCCCGAAGTAGCAAAACATTTGCGACAATGGTTAGCTGCATTTCTTGTGATATAATAATGGCAAATTCACCACCTGTAAAAGTGAATTTGTCCAATACGATGTGCCATGTCGTAAACGCTGGATATCGGACAGAAACCCAACGAGCCAACCGCTGTGTCAAGAAAATTCTGGATCCGATGGGCCTGCATAGAGAAAATAAATAAAATTTACTACGGTTTATTCGCGGCTACTGCTTCATAGCAATATATTCTGTAGCATCAAAACTGCCACACTAGACCCACACCCTTCTTTTCTAATTACATTGTTATTGTCGAAGTGCTTGGCGTTTATAGCGACACAAAGGCTAACCTTTCAAATCCTTTGAGTCAAAAAAATGTACTACTAGTACACATTTATAAATGAAGCATAATGAAAGTCCGTCATTATGAGTACTTTCTCCTGAAGAGTGACGGAAAAAGAAACGAGTGCTGTAAGTACAATCCCAAGCACTATGTTTGCAAAATTCACCTTCAGTAATTATCAGCTCAATTGCCCATTTTATTCTGACTTTCCGAGTGCAGTGCAACCTGCAGGTTTTAAAGCTGTAATTGTCCTTGTACAAAAATAAAATAGGTTCTATATAATCCTGGAGTGTATAAAAAGGCTAATTTTAGCTAAATCTGTTATCAAAAAGTCAACCCTAATTTATTTGCGTAAGTTTTCTACTTTTCGAAATCATGATTTATAGGGTGCTTTTATGATAGCTGTAGAAATTCGAGCAGAGGTATGTACATTGTCGCTAGAGGCTGTCCTGTTAGAGTAAGTTAGAAGTTATATACTGGTAAGCCAAAAATCAGCTTGAAATCAGTGCAATATCATATATACCTGATCTGGCGTTCTAATAGGTATCCTAACTCTAGAAAGTAATAGGTTCGTGTTAACATTGCACCCACTCTCACTTCATCGTAGGAAGAAAAGTGGTGAAACTGCACCTGCAAGTGGAACTCCTTGCTTTGGTTCAAAGTTTTTAGATCAAGCGATTCGCTTTGAATACCAAAATACTCTGCGAATTTTGGACGCTTCTCGATGAGGGTCTGTAGAATCTTCTTGCCAACGTTCACCTTCTTGGCTCTAAAACAGCATACATTACCAAGGAAACTGGCTGATATTTTGTATACTCAAAATCAGGAAGAGCATATTTCGTCGTCAATCGCGATATTATCCATCCAGGCTAAATCATCTGGCTTATAGCCTGCTTAAGTTTACTGGGACAGTACAGGAATATTTGTAACAAGTGAATTGGGTAGTACTGCTGATAAATGATCAACGCCTATTAGAAAATATGTTGAATCCAATCGTCACAAAGGCTTCTATGACGACAGTGCATGAGATCTGCTCGTTGGAAGACCGCTAGTAGAGTGAATGCTTACCTGATCCAAACGTCGCGAATAGCAGCCACTTCGTCATCGGATAACTCAGTCGTGTATCTCTTCTTAGAAGGACAAAGGCCCATTTTCTGCAAAAATGAAAGGTTTTAAACAAATATTGAGTAAAAGAACATGCTTGCCACAGTTATCACTGAGTAAATGACTCTTTTATGTGTTAGGCCTCGGGCATACCTCACGCGATTTCAGTCGCGACGCGATTTGGCAGTACTCTAAATGTTCATAACTCATCGTACGGGGTTTCTGAATTTACGGAAGATGGAGCATTTATCAGCCTACGGAAGTTATACATGCTGTGCATTTGGGGCCTGACAGTATTGAATTTGAAGACACCTGGCAAATTGCCAGATCGCGAGGCGACTGAAATCGCATGAGGTATGATCCTGCCTTAGTGGTGATGCTAATTCGTAACGAAAACTTTCTGCAGTGCCGAGAATAAGAAGTGGAAAGTTATAGTCACCGACTTTATAATCGTCAACTAGGAACTAGGATCTTGACTAGTATAGTACTAGAGAGATTAGTTTATTTGCGATGAAAAGTTGAAGCAACTTCAAAATACTAACAAGGGAAGGATACTCGGTCGAATTGGCGTTTCCATATGAAATGTATATTATCTTGTAGAGCGTGGAACGCCTTCTGCGAGAGAAGTTATGGGAATTTTCGCGGGTAAAATCCTAATGATTTGGCTAAGGTAAAAACAGCTGTTGAGGACTTTTCGGCGCTTGAAAGAATTAATGACTTGCATGAGTTTGTTAGATTGTAGGTATTTATTGCAGAAAACTTCCTGGTAGTAATTATGGCCCCATCTGAGCTCACGGTCTGGAGTTCTGAATGATTTTATTGTAGCGGCGTTCTCAAATTTTTGCATCAAAAAATTCCCATAACTTCACTTTCAGAACCGCTTTGCAGATACCGAAAGCAGATTCGGAATCAGCGTTTATGCCCTATAAGACAGTTTACATTTCACATAGAAAAGCCATTTCGACCAAGTATCCTTCCCTTGTGAAACGCAAATCTCTCACCTTTTTTAGCGAGAAGATAAACTTCACCGGGTGACAGTCGCGCATACGATAGCAGCTGGCGAAGATGAATTCTTAAGAGTCCACACTGCCGTGAAACGCAATCCACTCAAAATATAGCAGATATCTCGCACTAGAAGTGTCGAGGATATACTGCAATTTGTCAGTAAAGATTCTTGTAATTCTTCTTAAGATTGCACTTGAGCACGAAAATCCGCGTCAAGGACAAGAAAGCACTTTTGATAGATGTTTGAGAACGAACAGGGGAGTAGGTGCTTCAGTGGAAAAGAGCGCTCCGCCTTCTTGAAAGAAGATCTGTATACAAATCAGGGATTAGCGATGGCCGCTTTTGCACTTATAGTAGTGAGAGCAGAGATCTTTGAGATTTTAGTAAAATAGGATTCTCACAAAGTTCTTTCCTGATGTGTATATTATTCCACAAAGGAGATAGCTGAAGAGTAATTGACCCAATGCTTGATGCCGGCCACAGAATGACATTGCACACTATTCATTCATCACATTTCTAATTTCTTCCGCGAATTGCATCTTTTTCAATTCGCTGCTGGTCGTTGGCAAATCCACCAATTAAGGGTCATGCAATAGATAATTCTGCAAGGATTATAGGATAGCTGATCATTGAAATGACCTGGTCTATCATCACAGAGTGCTGGTGATGTCATAATAATAAAAACAGGAGTCCTTTTACGCTATTGCTGCCATGTATAGTCGTCCTCCCCCCACTAGACACTTAGTGGACGAATTCGAATTTGAAGTAGAGCAAGCCGTTTGCGGCAGAGCGCGGTACCTGCAGCCCTCACTTTGATCTCAAACTGACGTTTTTGTGTTTTCGGAACGTTTCATCCTATTTTTTGAATGTTAACAGTCTTCTTAACTGGATTGTAGACTTTGTTAGCCTTGAGTGATGTTTCCTGCTACTATGCTCATTATTTGAATTCTGATTTCAAGTTTAGATGAAATAAAAACCGAAGAAGCGAGCATAGTAGCACGAAACATCGCTAAGCAGCAACAATTTCGTCGATTTTGATTACAAACATCATTGAAACAAAAAATCACCATGCAACGACGAGGAAACACCAGAGAATATTGGATGAGGTTGAACTGAAGTTGACAATGCCGCGCTCTGCCGCAATCGGCGTGCTCTAGTTCAAATTCGAATCCATCCACTAGGTGTCTAGTGGGGGGAGGACGACTATAATTAACAGATCTTTGCAGAATAATCCTGAGTGCCTTGCAAAGTGTTTCTTTTGGAGGAACAAATCTGATGTGAGACTGTTTTATTAGATTGGTGCAAAAGTAAGCGCGTTTTTCTAGCCCTTGTTTCAGGACGACTTTTTTACATCAAGCTTTCTTCTTCAAAAATTCAGCATATTATTAAGAAGCTCTTTTCGTACTCTATCGAATGGTGTTTTGACCGCGCTTCTATCATTGCTTAAAAATTTATAGAGCTTCACACACCCGCATTTGAAAACAGAGTTTCATTGCATTTACTTTTATGGCATGAATCAAGCGCAAATGAGGGCATTCCTATGAAAATTCAACTACTGTATTTAATAGAAGTTGTCTACATTACGCACACTTTACTCTCCTCTTAAAAATTATCTATACTGAGATTTCGGTGATTCAACATGGGTAATCGTTTTGGTCATTCTGTGGCCCATAAATATCCTTTGAAAAGGCAATCGACAAAGCTTTGCTCATTTCTGTAAGCGTAACGGTGACTCTCCTGTTGACGGAATTGCAAAAATGTCTAGCTGTTCAGTACACAAAAAATCAAATACTCCATATTTTGGGACTTTGAGGCCTACGAAAAAATGTTGAAAAAAGCGGACGATTTTGGATTTTAATTTCCTTTTCGCAAACCTTCTTTGTTTGAGCCCTTTCCAACTTTTTGTTGTACTACTGGCTTGCGGCTTCAAGATAGGCTAATTATGATTATACTAACAAATTTTAAAAAGTTATTTACGATCACTTAAAAAGAGGTTCCAGAAAAAAATTTTCGCTTGTCAATCCATACTTTTCCGCCCGTTTATGATACGAATGTAAGTGGATGTGCGCTGTATTGCAAAAGATTTGCTGCCTCCAAGGTTTTTATTGCGTTGAAAAATGTAAATTTTTGATGAAGTTATAGCATGTCAGTGAGGACTTGCAGAACGCCCATTACTTGCGCTTCTGGTAGTTGACTAATACTTGGACTAATACTTGATTTATTCGACAAGCAAGCTTCAAGGCTTCCGACTAATAAAATCGCAAATATTCAGCTACTAATGCATTCTTTTATTATATATTACTTTCACCTTTATTACATGCAGTTAAGCTTCGATACATATATGAGCCCTAGAGGTGGGATGCGATAAAATATATTCACAGAGTTCATGAACATATAACACCTATTAAACATGATGGCTTTACTGATCTGTCAATTGCAAAGATGGGGAAAGCGTTGCTTATAACAACAAAAAGGTCAAAGCTTGGATGAAGCTTATCAGCGCAGCAGAATGAAGAAAAAAATACTAAAGAATTTTGTGCACAACTCTGCGTTAAAAAGGACAATGTTTTCATTACCCGCTATCACATCGCAGTCCAATACTCAATGATCATCGAAAGATTTTCGTCTCTTTGTGAAGATAACTAACGATAAAGTTACGCTATGCGAAGATGCGCGTGCTGAAAAGGGGAGGATGGAGAATTGGGATCCATTGAATTGACGATGTTCCTGGCGTCTATCTAACCTCTTCTGTGCTGGGAACTACAAACATTTGGGTAAGCCTTCCGTATAAATGAAGCTGCTGTACATAGCTTATCCTGTGGTCAGATATAATAGCAGTAATTTGTTCTGCCAAGAAACAACACTGGCATATGCTAGTACCTGGAGAGAGCATATGAGCAATCTATAACGCTCACAAATGTTGCTTTATGTGCGCAGAGCAATTAAGCAATCTTCGAAATGTTTCATAAAGCTCGCAGTAAATCATCGGTTTAAGCACTAAATGCAAGCAGTAAACCGCTCACGGCCGAGCAATAAGCTTCGCGCACATGAATTTATAGATTAAATATACGCAGATTTCTATCCTAAAGGCAGTGTCTGGGCAAAAATTCAATTAAAATCCCACACAACATGCGTTTTCCAAAGCCTCACAATCTCAAATTCGACGTTCCCCGTCAAGGCTGATAGAGTCGCTGAACCCTACGATTTTGACTGTGGCGACATGCGTACTCTGCCAGAGCAGTATTTCAAAAAGGTGGAGGACCCCGCCCCAAGGCGTAAGTTTCCCCAGTTTCCAGTCGTTTTTCTTGCTTTAGGTTGAACTTTATAGCCTCGCACTTGCGCGACGCTGTGTCTGAGGGGAGCCACTTTCGCTTGACACTGAAATCCCAAAATCCCAGGTTGCGGACACTGCCTTTAGGAAGGAAGGTAAGTTAGTGAAGCCTAGCATGATGGAAGCCTTGATAGGAAGTCGAAATCTGATTGATCTCCCAGTGCTGTATCAGTCAATGACTGATTTGAACAGTGACAAACATGTAAACCTTCGCTGATTTGCAAACGATTTTTCTAGAGGCTTCTAGAGCATCTGCTTCATATTGGGTTGTACAGGAAGTCCTGTCAATTCTTTTCATGAAGACCAACATCAAAAGCGAAATCTCTTTATCTTAATGCGTGATGTTGTCTCCTATCATTATCGTTGATCGGCTGAGATTCACTGTAATCCAGGCAATAATATTCTAAAGAAAGACGATATTCCACTGCTCTGAGAGCTCTGGAAAGGTACATTTCTAAAAAGGTAGATTCTCAGAACTTGACGAAGCTTGGAGTACCTGTGTTATATTAGGTTGGCGCGAAAGTTCTGTCGCACCATATTCAGAAATTCATAACTTCTGATTTTTTACCAATTTTCTTGAATTCATTTTTATTTGAAAGAGCAATTCAGTCTATAATGCAAAGACTCAAATTTTGGATTAATTATCTGCGGGATCATAAAAAAATTCGCGACTCCAGTAAAAATTGGAGCTGCCGGCGTCATAGGTTATAT